TGAAGGCTGGACACATTTGCCTGAGTGAATTTCAGATTTTATCTTTCAGACGGGCACTTCACAGGCCCACAGCCCCCTGTTCTCTGCTCGGGGTTCGGGAGTCTCTCTGGACATTAAAATTACCATCCCTGCCTTCCCACCTAGGAATGGACTTATCAAGACTGATCTTACTTGAGAAAGAAAACTAGAAGAAGAGAAAGAGGAGCCAGAAACTAATAACTGACACAATGGTTTCGAGACTGCCTGTCACTACTTGAGCCAAATTAAGCAGAGACAAGGTTGAATCATATATGTGCATTTATTCCAATAATGCCAGCAGTATGGGGAGAGCAGATGTTCACCCTGTAAATTCTGCTCTGAGCCATTTCATTTCAAACAAACTCTTATATAGGGTTAGTAGGTGGGAAAAAAAACTAAACCTAGTGAGTTCCCAGGGTCTGCTTCTTTCACTGTCCTTGCAAAAATTAGCCCCAGAACAGTCTCCCTTCAGATAGGTTCTGTCCTTGATCTGGGCTCCGGGCTGCCTTATCTTCAGGGCCCGTTCTTCTTGTAACATGCTGCTGCCCGTTGCTCTCCTGGCAAGTCTGGTGGGGACTCTTAGAGTTTAGGAGATGCACACCTCTCTGAGCATGCTCCAGAGAGGCAGAGCACTTTAGATTTTTGATGTCATAAATATCCTTAGTTTTTATGAAGACATACATAGTACCTGGCTTTGTGTTAAAGTGCCTCTTATCATCATATACTTTACAGATCGAGTATTTCATGCATCAAACAATTTTTTTTCTTTTTCTTTTTAATTTTCTTGGCATCAAACAATTTGAAGCAAATACTTTCTATATTAGAACTTTCTATTTCATCCAAGGATTAGCTAATTAGCTGTTAATGTAACTGAATCAACAGCTGTGTACGTTCTGTTTCTCTCTGCACACTGTTAAAATACCATATTTCATAATAATTGTCATGATCTCTGTGCCCAAATCTGACTACATTTTTTTTTTATCCTCACCTGAGGACATTTTTCCATTTTTTGTTTAGATAGAGTGGGAGGGAGAGAGAGAGAGAAAAAAAAAAAAACATTGATGTGAAAGGGACACATCGAGTGGTTGCCACCCATATGATCCAAACGGAACCAGGGACAAACTGCAACCGAGGTATGTGCCCTTAGATCCAAAGGGGACCAGGGACAAACTGCAACCGAGGTATGTGTCCTTAGTGGGAACCGAACCCGGGTCTCTCTGGACCACAGGCCAATGCTCTAACCGCTGAGCCAAATCGGCCAGGGTGCAAATCTGACTACATTTTAAATGAGGTTTCATTCATTAAGTTTCACAAATACACTATGATATTTTGCCTATTGCTCTCATATCCTTTCAACTTTACTGAACTTTAATTAGCTCTAATAGTTTTTTAGTGGATTCTTTAGGATGTTCTAAATGTAAGGTCATGTCATCTGTGAATAAAGAACTGTATGTTTGCCCTGGCTGGTTTGGCTCAGTGGTTGGAGTGTCAGCCTGCGGACCAGAGAGTCCCGGGTTCGGTTCCCGCTAGGGGCATGTACCAAAAAAAAAAAAAAGGAATTTTACTTTTATTTTCCAATCTGGATGCCTTTTAGTTCTTTTTCTTGCCTAATGGATCCAGGTACACCCTTCAATACAATATCTCTATGACCTCTGTGGCTGCTCACAGACCTTCTTTGGTTCCTTATAGATCTCAGCTGTGTTCCAAATGGTCAAATTTGCTGAATAAAGGACCTCTAGATAAGTAAGGTATTCATGAGGTGACTTTCCAAGGACTACTTGATTCTTATGCACACACTTTCCATAACCACCTATTTTTATATTATATTCATTTCCTTTCCTCCGCAGGAAGACTTTTTAAAGAACTGCTTTCCTTGTAGAATCAAATTCTATCTAATATTATTTTTAATCCATTTTGTAGCCAGAAGTTCCAATTAGTCTATATTTAAATTGCTCTATCTAGATTCTCTAGACTCAAAGGCCTGGCCTTTGGTCTTCGGGTTCTGCCACTTGCTAGCTGTGTGATCTTTAGCAACTCAATTTCCCTTCTTGGCTCCTCTTCCTTTCTGTAAAGTGAGAGAGCTAACGCCCCTTCCCACTCTTAACAATTTACCATTTAATATTTCTAATAATTGAATGCCACGTCAGGCGAAAAGAAAATGAGAAGTTAGGATTCATATGGGATAAAGGTCTAAGTTACCTTTATTCTTTAGTAACCTATTAATAGCTTATATAGTAAAGGAAGTTTTAAGATAACTTGTTCCTAAAGAGATAAGAGAAGCCAGGATTGCAAACCTTTGTTATCAAGATGCCAGCTGACAGGGCCCAAAGGGATCAAAGCACTAAGGAATGGAAAGGGAACTTTCTTTGACTAGGGTACAGTTTGGAGCTCGGAAAAACTGTCAGCAGGGGTAAAAAATTATAGGTTTTAAAATATCGTTCTGTATATAGAGGGACAAAAGTCAAGAGCCTTATGGTTGACCTTGGACTTGGGAGTAGGTAGGTGGCAGCAATAAGTACCTGTTTGTCTGGACCCGACCCTAGGCCAAAGACCTGATTCGGCCCCGTGGATACTTCTGACCACCAGTGACACCTGGGCATAACTGAAGGCCTCTGAACCTGGTTGGTATATGAGAAAGAAGTTGAGACTGTAAGATTTGATATTTTTATTAAGTTTTTCCATTATAGAATACAAAATTTAAAAATATAGAAAAGTAGAAAAAGATACAAATCCTGTTAATGTCTTGATGTGCTTCATTTATTGATTGATTGATTTAATACAAAATTATTTAAGGCCTCTTAGAGCTACTCCCCCTCCCCCCCCCCAACATACACACAATGCTCTGTTTTTTGGAAACCCCACATTTACTTAACCTATCCCTTTGGAACAAACATAACTCATTTGCCATTAGAAACAACTCTACCTTGAACATCCTTATACATATATTTTTGTACTCATGTACAAGTACATTTCTGTCAACACTGAATATAATCAATATCTTGTCTTTTGATAATTGGTAGCTCACAGAGTATTTTATTATTATTTATTTGCATTTCTTATATCTTCAGTTGGATGTTTTTATATGTTTATCAAATTATTTATATTTCTTTCTTAGTAAACTGCCTGTTCCTATTTTTCACTTATTTTCTATCTTCCTGATGTATACAATTAAAATTTTTATGTTAATAAGATTAGCCCTTTCAAAGGAAACAAGAGAAAAACAAATGAGACTACATCAAACTAAAAAGTTTTGCACAGCAACAGAAACCATCAACAAAACAAAAAGACAACCTACCAAATGGGAGAAGATATTCACCAATGATACATCCAATAAGGGGTTAATATCCAAGATATATAAAGAACGTATACAACTTAACACCAAAAAAAAACAAACAATCCAGTTAAAAAGTGGGCAGAGGACCTGAATAGACACTTTTCCAAAGAGGACATACAGGTGGCCAATAGATATATGAAAAGATGCTCAACATCACTAAGCATCAAAGAGATACAAATTAAAATCACAATGAGATATCACCTCATACCTATCAAAATGGCAATCATCAATAAATCAACAACAGCAAGTGTTTACGAGGATGTGGAAAAAAGAGAACCCTCATGCACTGTTGATGGGATTACAGATTGGTGCAGCCACTATGGAGAATAATATGGAGGTTCCTCAAAAACTTAAAAATAGAACTACCTAACGACCCAGCAATTCCACTTCTGGGTATTTATCAGAAGAATTCCAAAACACTAATTCAAAAAGATATATACATCCCTTTGTTCAGTGCAGCACTATTTACAATAGCCAAGATATGGAAGCAACCTAAGTGTCCATCAGTGGACGAGTGGATAAAGAGAATTGGTACATATCACAATGGAATATTACTCAGCTATAAAAAATAATGAAATCTTACCATTGTGACAACTTGGATGGGCCTAGAGGGTATGATGCTAAGTAATATGAGGAAGACAGAGACAGACAAATGACATATGATTCCTCTTATATGTGGAATCTAAAAAACAAAATAAACAAAACAGAAACAGACTCATAGATACAGAGAACAGGTTGCCTGGGGGGGGGCAAAGGAGGGCCGGGTGAAAAAGGTGAAGGGATTAAAAGTATAAATTGTCAGTTACAAACTAGACACACGGATGTAAAGTACAACATAGGGAATATAATATTGTACTAACTATGTATGGTGCTATTAAGGAGATCACTTTGTAAGTTATATAAATGCCTAACCACTATGAAACTAATATAATATTGAATGTCACCTGTAATTGAAAAAAAAAAAATTAGCTCTTTATGCAATCATTATACTACAAATGTGTTGTTTTTTGCTTTTTTTTAACCTAACATTCTTTTCATCCCAAATTTAAATCTTTTTAGGCAGTCTATTTTCTTTTTTTTCTGGCTTCTGGGCTTTGTGTCTTGTTTAGGAAAGCCTTCACTTCATAATTATTTTGTGAAATTACTTGATAATTTCTTCTAGTATTTTTCCAGATTTTTTGTTACACTTAGGAGTCTTGTCCATCTGGAAACAATTTGAGGATAGCCATCGGCTCTAATGTTTGTCTTTTCTAACCTTGACTCTGATCAGTGATCCAGTTCCTGGGAGACCCAGAACAATCCAGATTTCCCAGATCCATGTAGACGTGACTGAAACGGACTTATCAACATTGCTGGTTGTGACCTAGGACCCCTAAGTTCTCTCCTGCTCACCGAGTCCTTGGTCCAGACCCAGGGGGAATCTGGGCAGACTCCTCTCAGGGGGGCATGTGGGCTCCAGGTGGCCCCATAGTGACCTGGATGCCCATTTGTTTCAGTCACAGGCTGAAGCACTTCCTCTGTGAATTCAGCCCTGGCTCCCTTCCGCTCTTCCCTCCCAGCCCATCTGTGCCCTGCCCAGCCAGCTTTTCTTGGAGGACATTTGCATCATGCAGCAGAGGGAGGGCTCTGAGGACTGCTTCACTGAGCCATGGTCTGTCCGGCTGCCCCCGCGCTACTCCTGGCCATGACTCTCCCCCTTGTGGGGTCACCAGTTGCCCGAGCATTCCAACCTGTGAGTAAGACTGGGGTAAGGACCGTGGGAAGGTCCGCAGAGGCAACGTGGGGACCTCTGGGTGTGAGAGGCAGTGAGGTGTGGGATGAAATGACAGGTGGAGGGGAAAGGGCTGGAGGGAGAGGAGGTCACACATTTAAAAACAAAAAAGAGGCTGGTTTGCTCTAAGGTCTCGGAGAGGTCAGTCTTATATTGCAGAGTGCAGGGATAGCTGTTTCTTTATCCGAGTCCCTGTGAACTCCAGTGATGCGTGCTGCACTCTGGATAAAGGCTTTTCCAGGCAAGCTTGCCATTTGAAAATGAAAAAAAAACTTCCCAGATTTGAGATCCACTGGCCTAGAGGACAGGAGAGAATCTGAGGAAAGATGCTGAGTCGATATTAGTACTTTTTCATCTGTGTTTGCTCCCAGGTCTCTCTGTCTCTCTGTCTCTCTGTCTCTCTGTCTCTCTCTCTCTCTCTCTCTCTCTCTCCCTCTCTCATCTCCATCCATATCCTTATCTCTATACATTTCTGGTTTTAGACAGTTACCTGCATACACATATAATTTTGAGCAAAGCAGGAGTTGGTGAGAAACGAGTCACGGGAACCAGAGACTAAGGGAAGATGCTGCCTCTGCTCACCCCAGTGCCATTTCCTATGGAGGGAAAAGAAGTCCCCAAGCCTCTGGGCCCCCGCCAGCTCTGCCCAGTCCTCCCCTGGAGCTCCAGACCCAGGCATTTCAATTAGCCTAGAGGCCCAGGGACAGGTAAATTCAGGAAGGGATTAAGCAAAGCATGTTGACTCTCCAGGGTGTGCCTGGTTCCTGAGTTCCGGCCCCAGTGGGTCGCTGGGACCGCATCCCTCGAACCTCCTGTCAGAAGCCTACGTTACCCTCCTGACGTTCCTATTTAATTCCATGCAAAACAAAATGAGACCCTTCAAAGAGAACATGTCATGCCAGATCAGCAAGGCTGGTCTCTGAGCCACTTGGAGAAGGTGTCCCTTGGAGAGGTGTCTGCCTCTCCTAAGCAGTCTCTCCTTTTTGCTCTGTCCTAGGGGCCCAGTCAGGCAGGAGGAGAATCTGGGCAGCCACTGGACCAAGGAAGTGGAACAGGCGGTGAGTGGATGGAGGAGGAGGAGAGGGAGCAGGGAATGAGGTGAAAATCGAGGACTGGAAGAGGCCACGCAGCAAGGGGTGGTGGGTGGAGAGGACTGGATCTGTGCTGGCCAGGAGGTCCCTACGCTGGTTCTCTAGCCGAGCGGCCTTGAGAGAATCATTCATCTTTGAGAGCCTCACTTATAAAATGGGGGTTGTTAGGAGGGTGACATAAAATAGTGTTTCATAGCTAGATGAGGAGTTATTATTCCTGAGTTCTGACTGTGCCCAGACGGGCTCTGGGAGGTGGGATCTGCTCAGGGTTCCTAGCAGTGACCAGCTAGGTGTGGGATGCAAAAGCCACTGGCCCATGGCCTCGCTGCCTCTCCTCTCCAGCTGCCCCCTCTTCTGCAGAATCAGTCCTGGTCTCGGTCTACGTACAGCTGGACTTTTCAAATAAGACCTGGCTAAGAGCACTCTCCAGGAACCTGACTCTGCCCCCTGCCTCAGCTTCCTTTGCCCCAGGAACTCTCACTGGCTTCGGCCTCACGACAGGTAGGGCGGAATTCTACTGACCCCTGCCTCTCAATGTCACCGACTGCATGCAAGGGGGCTGAGTGAAGGGAACCTGGGCTTCCCAGCCCTCTGCAGCCAGCTTGCCTGAAATGCTCCCTATTTCCAGGAGGGCCTGCACAGCCCAGCTCCTTCCTCACCTCCCCACCAGACAGACCCTCCCCTCTTGCTCCATCCTTTAAACGGAGGGCCCAAGGGGCAGTCAGTGGTGGGCCTGGACTTCTCCACCCCGCCCCTGATGCTTTGAACCGTGGTCCAGGAGGCAGTCGACTGGGTGGGTGTAGCTGAGGGGCTTGTGACTTTGGGATTGTTCCGGTGCCCAGCCTCCGCCTGAGATCATCAGGCAGTTGTTGGTCCTGCGGAGCTGGCCCTTCTCAGCCAGCCTGCCCACTTCTCGTTCGCCTTCCCTCCGCACAGAGTGTGATGTCAAGCCCGACGGGTCTATCCATTGTGCTTGCCTGTCTGGATACCAGTGGAATGCCAGTGTCTGCTCGCGTCACCATCCTTGTCAAGCCACCTACTACCCCAGGCCCTGCGACTGTCTTGTCTTCAGCCCTCCTGAATCTGGGTACTGCCAGTTGCTGCCACCTGGTGAGGAGAGTTGAGAACTAACTCGAAAACCAATGGGCCCAAGTGAAAGAAATCTTCTCTGTGTTTTTTCCTCCTTGACTGTATTTCTGCAGCTGGCCCAAGGCCAGCGGCTCCTCTCCTCTGGGAGGAGACTCAGCCATCACAGCAGATCACAGGCCCCGAGCCTGGGACCTGAGTAATGAGACTAATGAGCAGCAGGGCCCTGGAGATGTACCGACAAGGAGAGGCAGCTTCCTCACCGGGAAGTCAGAGGCCAAAAGGGTTCCCTGTTTGGTTCCCAATGACAGATGGGGTCTTCCAGGCTGACTGCAGCAGCTATACTCCCCCAGGGACAAACAAAAGAAAAATGCTAGGTGGGGAGGGAGGAAGGCGGGGTGTGCTTCAGAAGACGGAAAGCATTACAGCTTAGCTGCATGGAGGCCCACAAGTCCCTGCTGCAGCTTCCCGTCTCCTGCCTCCCTGCAGTCCCGGGCACCCTGAGCCTGAACACCTGGCTGCAGATGCCTGGCAACACGCTGAACCTGACCCTCCTCACGAGCCAGGAGACCACCAACCTGCACTGGTTCCTGCGGCGGAGCACAGGGAGCCCCAGACCGATCCTCCTGCAGCCAGGGACACATGTGTCCCTGACGTCTAGACAGGGCCAGGCTGTCCTCAGCATCTCCAACATCTCCCATAAGTGGGAAGGTAGCCAGTCTGTCCTTCCCTCCTCCTTTCTTCCCTTTTCCTTCCTCCTCCCTCTCTCCTCCTTCTTTTCTTTTCTTCTCTTCTTTTCCCTTTTCATATTTCCATTTATTCATTCTGAGGAAATAAAAGCCAAGAGGCCTGTTGATGTAAAAATTTATAAAGGAAGTATGTTGAAAATATGGTGTTATTTTAACTGAGAACTGATGAGTACTTTTCTTCAAGCTGTTGAAATGGCAGGGGATGCCCTGGCCAGTTTGGCTCAGCGGTTAGAGCATCGGCCTGCGGTCCAGAGAGACCCGGGTTCGGTTCCCACTAAGGGTATGTGCCTTGGTTGCAGTTTGTCCCTGGCCCTGGTTGGGTCGTGTGGGTGGCAACCACTCGATGTGTTCCTTTCATGTCGATGTTTCTCTCTCTCTCCCTCCCACTCTATCTGAACAAAAAATGGAAAAAAAATGTCCTTGGGTGAGGATAAAAAAAAAAAAGAAGAAGAAAGAAATGGCAGGGGATGGTGCAGGAAGGGTGTCTGCTGGAGGGAGAGGGGTTCGCTCAGAATTCGTGGCTACAGGCTACTGTAAAAGTGTCAGGAGCCTCTTTAGATTTCTTCCTCCTAGACACCCTTTTGCAGGCAGAGGTCTTTCTTGCCGAGGTTAAGCAGAGGCTAGACCAAGAAGGTCAACCTAGCTTGTGGCTCAAGCAGCAGCAGAGATTCTGTGGTGCAGCTGGGGGCCAGGAGAGCCTGGAGCTAAGCAGGTGTGTGTCTGCAGGGAAGTACATATGCTGCTTTGAGGCCCAGGGATTCACGTGGGAGCTGTACCAGGTGGTGAGAGTGCCCCTGCAGGCGGCAGATGTGGCTCAACTTCCAGACCAGCTCTCCGTCTCCTGCGCCACCTCCCCTGGCTTCCAGCTGAGCTGCTGCATCCCCCACACATACCTGGGCTACACGGCTTCCTGGAGCCCCGGAGAGGGCAGCGAAGGTACCGCAAGGGGCTGGCCTGTCAGTGGCGGGGCAGGGGCGCAGCTGGCTCTCCAGCTCACCAGAAGCACAGGCTGCAGTTCAACCTGGAAGCCCTGGGTCCAAGCCCAACACTGTTTTCACTCCATAGAGCAGCAATTTTCAACCTCTTTCATCTCCTGGCACATAAGCTGATTACTAAAATCCTGCGGCACACCGAAAAAGATGTTTTTTGCTGATCTGACAAAAAAATAGGTATAATTTTGATTCATTCACACTGGACGGCTATTGTTGCGTTGGCTGTCATTCTTTTATTTGACAGTCTAAGGGAAAAGAGGTCAGTGCCCATCTAAAATAGTCAGGTATTGCATGCTTTAGAAATTCCTGCGGCACACGGGTTGAAAATCGCTGTGATAGAGCGATCCCAATTCTATTATACAATAACCACAGGAGTGTAGATAACTTTCTGTTAAATGCTTTCATCCACCCAATCTCGCTAAACTCTCGCAATACACTCTCAGGTTTATTTGACGATCGTTCCGTTTTACAAATGAGGAAACTGGGGCTTCCAGACCCCAGGCTAGTTAGAGATCCCAGCATGCCCTTCACCAAAACCCAAGTTCTGGCTTTGGTAATTTGGTGCCCTCATACCACTCTGCTCTTCCCCACTGCTTAATCTACTTCTGAACGTGCTGGAAAGACCAAGACGACAAATCTGGGCCTGATGGTTTCTAGGTCTGTTCCGGGCCCAGTGACTGCTCCCTTCTCTCGTCTCACCCTCAGCCTCCTTATTCAACACGCCAAGTGACCAGTGCCTTGTGCTGTCCATTCAGCACTGCCCTGCAGCTGACACCATATACACTTGTGACCTGCAGAGCCCAGGACTGACCCCTCTCAGGGTCCCCGTCTCTGTGACCATCATCCAGGGTACGTAGGGCTTAGGGTCCAGCTGGCTGGCCTCTTGCCTGCTTTCCCTGGGAGCCCTTCCATGACATTTCCCTGCACGGGCAACAGGGTCAGGCTCCAGAACCCACATGAGTTTCTGCCCAAGGAAAGCCTCGGGCTACACTGCAGGTGCTGAGCTCTCCCCAATATCATTCTTCAGACGGAGACACTACCTGCCCTGAGGACTCCTCAGCTGTTGCCTGGAATGTCACCAAGGCTGGCCACGTGGCACAGGCCCCCTGTCCCGTGAACAGGACGGGCATGGTGAAGAGGCCTTGTGGGCCTGATGGGGTCTGGGGGCCCCCCCACAGCAGCTGCACAGACACGGGGCTCCTGGCCTTGCTTCAGAGAGCCCAGGTAAAGCTGCTGGCCCTGCTGCCCACATGCCACTCCCTCCAGGACCTACCCCTTCCTCCCTCGGGACCCAGCTCTAGAACCCTTTCTTCCTGAGGCCAGCCCACAGGTTGTTCAGCTTCTCTGAACTGGAGCCCTAGCAGAGCCCGGAAGTGGGTGTGGGGGCCTTAGAGTGGCCAGGACTCTCACAGTGGGGAGGGTGCTATTCTCAAACCTTAATCTATCAAGGGTCCGATTCACTAACATTGGTGTCAGCTCCTTCCACGTGGCTCACTCTGCTCTCTGCTCCCTGATCCTCTGGGAGGGGGTGTGGCTATGGGAGGAAGAAGCTGGATGGGGAGGAGGTAGCCCCTCTCTCATGAGGACTTGTATTCCCCTCAACTGCTGTCTTGTCTGTCTCAGCTGCTGTGGGCAGGCCAGGGCTGGCCTGCTGAAGAGGTGCCACAGAGCCTGGCACAGCTGCTGGAGCAGACGGCGGTGGTGAGCTCACCCTCTGACTTATTGGCACTGGTGGGCACCATGACATTCCTGGCCAAGGTGGTGTCAGACACCAGAATACAGCTTCACCGCAGTGCCCTAAAGGTAAGCTCTGAGCCACAGCAGGTGCCAGCTGGGTGAAAGGGGCTGGAAGCTCTTCACCCTTGGCCCTTATGTCCCTCTGACATCACCATGGGCTGCCAAAAGACAGACCTTTCTAGAGTCGAGTATCTGCTCGCATGGTCCATCTCTCCTCTTGGACACCAGTCTCGAAGGCCGTGAAATGTGGAGAAGGTTTGATGCTGAGAGCACGTGGGAGATTGGGAGACAGTAGGAAGGTGTGTGTAGACATGAGTTCAGAGGCTTACATTCACACACAAACGTGGATATAACGTGAATCCCCTTTGCACACACACGCGCACGCACAAATACCTACATGAAGAAACCCTAACACGGTTGGCTTTTCTGGACTCCCCTAAGCCAGCTCTCGATATAGGCATCAATTGGTGGCCTAAAGGAATAACTAGGGGCTGTGACACTACACACTTTTCGTGTCTGGGAATACGTATCATCTCTCTGTTGGGTGCCACAGGCTCTCCTGAAAACCACTGACAAGGTCTTAGACCTGGACGCCGGTTCTCTGTGGACGCCGGCCCGGGCCCAGAAGCCCTCAGCGGGCTCAGATCTCCTGCTGGCTGTGGAGACCCTGGCAAGCTGCCTGCACCCACAGGATCACCCCTTCACCTTCCACCTGCCCAACGTGCAGCTGCAGACCCAGCTCCTGAGACCCACGTCTCCTGCTGACTACAGCGTCTCCTTCTCCACTCAGCCCCCACTGCAGGCACAGATCCCCAGACGCACGCTCACCCCGCTGCTTACTGGTAACAGCAACATCACGATCACTAGCTTGGTGCTGCGAAAACTGGACCACCTTCTACCTTCGAACTATGGACAAGGGCTGGGGGACTCCGTCTATGCCACCCCGGGTCTGGTCCTCTCCATCTCCATCATGGCGGGTGGCCAGGCCTTCAGCCAGGGAGAAGTCATCATGGACTTTGGGGACAGAGATAACACCCTTCACTGTGTCTTCTGGGACCACCATCTTTTCCAGGGCAATGGGGGCTGGTCAGATGAAGGGTGCCAGGTGCAGGCAGCCAATGCCAGCGCCAACGCTCAGTGCATCTGTCGGCACCTCACTGCCTTCTCCATCCTCATGTCCCGACGCACTGTTCCAGAAAACCCCACCCTGGACCTGCTGAGTCAGGTGGGCTTGGGGGCCTCTATTTTGGCACTGCTTGTGTGCCTGGGGGTGTACAGGCTGGTGTGGAGAGTCGTGGTCCGGAACAAGGTTGCCTACTTACGCCACACAGCCCTGCTTAACGTGGTGCTCTGTCTGCTGGCCGCAGACACCTGCTTCCTGGGAGCCCCGCTGCTTCCCCCAGGTCCCCAAAGCCCACTCTGCCTGGCTGCTGCCTTCCTCTGTCATTTTCTCTACCTGGCCACCTTTTTCTGGATGCTGGCTCAGGCCCTGATGTTGGCCCACCAGTTGCTTTTCGTTTTCCATCAGCTGTCCAAGCTCCGAGTACTCTCCCTGATGGTGGTTCTTGGCTACCTGTGCCCGATGGGGTTTGCAGGTGTCACCCTGGGCCTCTATCTACCTCGAGGGCAATACCTGGGGGAGGGGGCGTGCTGGTTGGATGGGAAGGGAGGGGCCCTCTACACCTTTGTGGGGCCGGTGCTGGTCATCGTGGGCTTGAACGGGCTGGTACTGGCCATGGCCATGCTGAAGTTGCTGAGACCTTCACTGTCAGAAGGACCCCAGGTGGAGAAGCGCCAAGCCCTTCTGGGGGTGATCAAAGCCCTGCTCGTTCTCACACCCATCTTTGGCCTCACCTGGGGGCTGGGCCTGGCCACTCTGCTAGAGGAAGTCTCCGTAGTCCCTCACTACATCTTCACGATCCTCAACAGCTCGCAGGTGGGTGATAATGCGGTGGTTATGCTCTTTGCCATTAGTTGTTTTAAGTCACCGCCAGTCCCTTCTCAAGGTGGTATCATGGTGGAGCAGAAGAGCGAGCTCGAGGATTTTAGAAGGCATAGGTTTGAATCCTCGTTTCTCTACCGACTGGCTGGATAACTTTGGGCAAACCTCTCCGAGCTCTGGTTTTCTTATCTGTAAAATACTATCTGGTTTTGCCAGAGAAGTCAGGGAATTGTCTGCACGCCATCCTTTGATTTCCCCTTTGCAACCGGAGCAGTAAGAAAAGCACTGAAGCCCTGGCCGGTTTGGCTCAGTGGTTGAAGCCTCAGCCTGCGGACCAGGCAGTCCTGGGTTCGGTTCCCGCTTGGGGCACGTACCGCAGTTGCAGTTTGTCTCCAGCCCTGGCTGGGGTTGTGTGGGTGGCAGCCAGTCGATGTGTCCCTCTCACATCGATGTTTCTCTCTCTCTTCCTCTCTCTCTCCCTCCTGCTCTATTTGAAGATAAATGCAAAAAAATAATAATAATGCTGATGGACAGAAACCCGAGCAGGAAGCCTCGGCATGTGAATTAGATGAGAGGACAGAGGAGAACAAAGAGGAGAGGAACAAGTTGATTTTGGCTGATTCCTTTCTCCTGACTCACTTATTCCCATATTCCTCTTTTTAGGGTATCTTCATCTTGCTGTTTGGTTGCCTTATGGACAAGAAAGTGAGTCTGCCCGCCTAATCACCCCCGTCTCACATCCAAAGGCAGGAACTTCGGGTGCCATAACCAGACATTTGTCTCTCCTGCAGGTACAAGAGGCTTTACTCAAACGCTTCTGCCGTGCCCAACTCCCCAGCTCCACCATCTCCCTGGTGAGTTGCTGCTTTCAAATCCTTAGTTCTCCCCCTGAGAGCGGGTCAGAAGCAGGTGTTCCACAGCTGTCCTCAGAGGAGATGGGAACAACCAGCTGCAGAGAGAAGATTGGGGTTGTTGTCTAGAACGAGCATAGTTTCAGGTTCAAGCTCTCCGCAATGCAGAAAGCGGCCCTGTCAGAAGAGTCGGAATCAGATTCTTGGTTCCTGATCACAACCTGGGCTCCTGGTGACTCTCTTGTCCCTGGTTTCTCCATCCGAAAATCTGCCTCCAGTTACTATTTGAAGGGAAAAGCTAGGCATCACTGTAGCGGAGAGCAAAGTTCCTAGGGTTACTGTGCCCCCTGCAGGACGGCAGGTGAGGACGTGAAAATGGACACTGTCTTCAGAGAGTTGACAACAATAATAATGACCCTGCTATTGGGCCTTTCCCTCCTTCCTAGGCCACAAATGAAACCCATATCCTGGAACACAGCAAAGGAAAAAGTGAAAACCCCAGGTGAGGATGAGGTGTTCTTGGGAACAGAGTGGGCAGCATGAGTAGCTTCCCAGCAAAGCTCCCAACAGGAAGCTTCTCTTCGTATACCAATTCCAGCCCCCAGGGTGGACAGCAGGCTTTGCCAGGGTAGACATTTCTAGATGAGCTGGGAAGGTGTAGCCCTCAGAGCAGAAATCATAGCATCTATTATTGCTTTTCCAGAAAACTGGAAGGAATTTAACCACCAACAACCCCTGCCTCAGTTCACTCGGAAAATTCCTATTCACGCTATCAAATATTTAATTATCCTGAAAAATCCTTGTTTTCAAGGAATTACCATTGGTGAGGTGGTGTCCAGAAGGGAGGGCAATCTGTAAAGGTGGGGCAAGGTCGCCTCCCACCAGCCTAGAGCATCAGGGCATGCTCTCTCGTGGGGAAGGCAAGAGCTCTGAGTGACCCACACGGAACCCATGTTCCTCCGAGGCAGTGCAGGGCGTGTGCTTCAGCCCACCAGGATGGGCCTTGGCCCTGCTCAGAGCTCAGCTCTCCCGCCAGACAGGCTATGCTTCCATGACTCACACTCATTTCTCTTGCACTCACCTGTCCCCACCCCTAAACTATCCAATCAAGAACAGCATGAAAGAAACAGCTAAAGCTATCTAATGAATAAACCTGTCTTTGTAGTCAAAATAATGAAGATATCAAAGTTCAAAATAATGGCAAGTAAAACTGCCTCAACCAGTTTTTAACGAGTCAACAGTTTATGTTACAGATATAATTGATAAAAATGGTTTTAACTATTCAGTGATTTCTGATTATTTCTTCTCTACAGTTATGAAGAAAGGATGACTTAATTGGCAGGAACTCTGATCTTCCAAACATTAGAGGTGAAGGGCAGAATTTGGTTTGTTTATTCTCAAAGTACGGGAAAGGGGAAGTTAAAGAGTCCTTTTTCTTTAATTTTTAAAAAATATCAATATAAAATTAAGTTTCATAGACATATGCATGTATACAAAAAGTCACTGATATTAGCATGTGTAAGCAAGCGTTGTAAATTTTAAAGTGGAGAGAAATGTACCAGAGATCGCCACAAATTAAGAAGAAAAGATGACAAAAACACATTTAAAAGTGACAGGATCAAGCTAAGACTGGACATGGAGAAGAAAGATTTAAGAAAAGCTTCTAGCAGACACCAAGACATCTAGCTGAATTAATTTACAGAATTCACAAGAGATAATGACAGGATTTTTTAGCTAGATAAATGAAAACATTCTGATACACAAATCTTTGTTGATTTCAAATTTCATGAATATTTTTATAAAATGGAGTGGGGATGTTTTTTGTTGAAATAAAAATGAATACCACATACTGTTGAAAACATTTTTTTTTTTACAAACATTATACTTTCACTTAATGATCTGTGTGAATATTCTAATTGTGTATAAGCTGGCCCAAATATTTCTCTAAATGGGTTCAATCATCCGTTTAAATAGAAGATACCGGCTCACCGGGAAGTTGCAGTGTTTCTGTGCCTGGGTCTGTTCCAGCCCCCAGGGGAGGCCAGCAGCCACTGAAACAGTGAAGACTTTGCCTTGCTGGTCTCCCCGACAACATAGTCATGTATTTCAATGTCACTATCACTTCATTAGTATTTCAGTGTTGATTTTTTTAATTATAAAATTGTTTTTTGAATAATTCAAATAATATACTTTAGAAGCAGCAGAGACTCCCTTTCTGAGTATGTTTTGTGAGAATATGTTCTCATTTTTCTCAAACGACGGCACATACTCATCACGTGCTCTGCTGGTAAAAAACAAACGTTAGAATCAATAAATGCAATGACATCCTTTGTTCACTTGGCTCTCACCATAATAAAAGGGGGACTGAAAGGAAAGCTCTGGAAGTAACTATACGTGAGATTTAGTAGCGATTCCATTTCTTAAAAGATGGCTTGAAGAAATAGGTGGACAGATAAATGTATGAAGGATGTACATTTGAGTGCTTACATGCTCAAAAAAAAGAGGCACAAATTAGGATATATCCATACAGAGGACTGTTATGTAGTCATTAAAAATGATATATGGCTTTGGCCGGTTTGGCTCAGTGGTTGGAGCGTTTGCCTGTGGCCAGAGAGTCCCAGGTTCGGTTCCTGCTAGGGGCACGTACCAAAAAACAAAAAACAAAAAACGATGTATGGCTATACCTACTGATATGGAAAATGTTTAGGCTATATAGCTCAGTAAAACAAAAGGGTTCCAGAACAGCATTATACTCGGCAATGTTGCTCCACGTGTCCAAATAAATATGTGTGCATTGAAAAGAAATCAAACTATTAACAGTGGGTATTTCTACCCGATTTTTCATTTTCTTCTTATTCTATAAACATTTATTTTTTACAATAAGCATGTAATTTTTTTAGAAAAATAATAAAATGATTTTGAAAAAGTTCTCTTGAACATTTTGCATATTTAAAAATAGAAACTTGACAAGCAAAGAAACAAAGTACCCTCTGGAATTTAGGTTTGTACAGAGGGTGAACTACATTGGGGTTCCTGGGAAGGCTTTGAACTCCCTTTTTGGAGTTCTGCTTAGGGAATCAATTCTGCTTGGTCAGTGATGGTCCCTTAAGGATGGAAGGGAAAAGGGCTGTTAGTTGAGTTTGTTGCAGCTACAAACATTGCCAACATGTCTAAATGCTTCTTCTCTTTCCCAGTAAGGTATTTCTTGTTAGAATGGTATTTCCACTATTTTTGTCCTTCTATTCCCATATTCTCCCATTTCCTCTCAATCAGTGATTCCTCTTCATTGAAAAAGCAGAATATACTGATTAAAGTCCTAAATAAACCACAGTGAACATAGGCAGAGGGCCTCTGGGCCATCCATTCAAATCTGAGAAAGACTGGGAGACCCTGATATTGCTTTTCACCCTTTAAGAAAGACCAGAATTTGAGAGTCTTGGAGAAATAAACAAAACTAAGAAAGGATAGGGGGAGAAGGTGGGCTGAGGATTAGGATTCTTCTCTTTGGAAAAATGGAAGCAGAGAGCGCAGGAATTTTTGTCTGTTTTGTTGGTTGCTGTAGTCTCAGCTTCTAGAACAGTATTCAACACATAACAGGAGCTTAACAGATATTTGCTGAATGGGTGAACTATACAGACCACAGGAAGAACATAAACTTGAACTCAGAACCAGATCATCAGAAGCAAACAGTTTGGGTGCAGGTGGGAGTGGGGCAAAGGGAGGAGCAAATCTGGGAAGGCTGAATGAAGGAATGAATGCCCCGTTCCCAGATAAGTTATTTACTGGAACAGAGGGTCTAATTAAAGTTTGACCTGAAAAGGAGACACTTAAATTTGGGATTTTTACAATTATCTAAGTTTATTTTTATGTTTATCTAAGAATGAACATCAAGCCCTGGCTGGTTTGGCTCAGCGGTTAGAACATTGGTCCACGGACCAGAGAGTCCCGGGTTTGGTTCCTGCTAAGGGCATGTACCTTGGTTGCAGTTTGTCTCCGGCCCCGTTTGGGGTCATGTGAGTGGCAGCCAGTCGATGTGTCTCTCTCACATTGATGTTTCTCTCTCTCTCTCTTCTTTCCTCTCTCCCTCCTGCTCTATCTGAAGATAAATGCAAAAGTGTCCTCAGATGAGTCCTGGCCAGTTTGGCTCAGCGGTTAGAGCGTCGACCTGCGGTCCCGAGAGGCCCAGGTTGGGTTCCCGCTAAGGGCATGTACCTCGGTTGCAGTTTGTCCCCGGCCCTGGTTGGTCGTGCGGGTGGCAGCCACTCGATGTGTCCCTTTCACGTCGATGTTTCTCTCTCTCTCTCTCTCTGTTCCTGTCTCTCCCTCCCACTCTACCAGAACAAAAAAGGAAAAGTGTCCTTGGGTGAGGATAAAAAAAAAAAAAAAAGTGTCCTCATCTGAGGATAACAAAATTAAAAATTTTTTTAAAAAATGAACATCAAGATCTACATTTTATGGAGCATTTATAATGATAAAGTCAAGGATGATCTTTTGTAGCAGTCATGCCAATGAAAATAACTTGGCTTTCTCTTACATGTCCAGAATGTTTTGAAATAGTATATAACTTGTACAAAGTTGGGTGAACCTACCACCCAACCTCAGAACTAGAACTTAAACACCATTGAAGCTGTCGTCTCCAGTCCAATTTCAATGCCCCCAACCCAGAGGTAACCTCTATTCTAAGTGTTTTTCTTTGCCTTTTTTTCTTAAAATTATTTTTAATTGTGGCAAAAGACAGAATTGATCACTTTAACCGTTTTAAGTATATAGTTTAATAGAGTTAAGTACATTCACATGGCCATGCAATCAAGCTCCAGAATTCATCTTTTACAATAAAAACTCTTTAGACATTAAACAACTCATTCTCCTTTCCCAACCCCTGACAACCATCATTCTACTTTGTCTCTATGAATTTGGCTATTTTAGATACCTCATATAAATGGAATCACAGCCCTGGCCAGTTTGGCTCAGCGGTTAGAGAGTCGGCCTGCGTTCCAGAGACCCGGGTTTGGTTCCCGCTAAGGGCATGCATCTCGGTTGCAGTTTGTCCCCGGTCTGTGCGGGTGGCAACCACTCGATGTGTCCCTTTCACGTTGATGTTTCTCTCTCTCTCTCTCCCTCCCACTCTATCTCAACAACAACAACAACAACAACAACGAAAAAATGTCCTCAGGTGAGGATAAAAGAAAATAAATGGAATCACACAGCATTTTATTGGTTGGTCTGTGTTTTCTTTTCGTGTGGGACTGGCTTCTTTCCCTTAGCATAATGTCCTCAAGGTTCATTCATGTGATAGGATTGCCTTCCTTTTTAAGACTGCATAGTATTCTATTATATGTATATTATTGCATTATTTTCCGTATGAACCACTGTAAGCCTGCTTTTGCCCCACCCTGTATGTACATTTTGTTTATATACTGATGGACACTGGGTTGCTTCCATGTATAGGCTATTGTGAATAATGCTATGAACACAGATGTACAGATATCTCTTTGAGACCCTTTCAGTTCTTTTGGATATATACCTAGATATGGAATTGCTGGATCATATGGTAATTCTATTTTTAATTTTTTAAATAACTGCCATACTGTTTTCCACAGCAGCTGCACCATTTTACATTCCCACCAACAGTGCACAAAGGTTCCAATTTCTCTGCATCCTCACCAACACTTGTTTTCAGGTTTTTTGATGGTAGGCATCCTAATGGCTACTATCAAAAGTATGAAGTAGCCCTGGCCGGTTTGGCTCAGCGGTTAGAGCGTCGGCCTGCGGTCCAGAGAGACCCGGGTTCAGTTCCCGCTAAGGGCATGTACTTCGATTGCAGTTTGTCCCCGGCCCTGGTTGGTCGTGCGGGTGGCAGCCACTCGATGTGTCCCTTCACGTCGATGTTTCTCTCTCTCCCTTCCTCTCTCTTCCGCCCACTCTATCTGTACAAAAAATAGAAAAATGTCCTCGGGTGAGGATAAAAAAATAATAATAATAATAAAAAAGTATGAAGTAGTGGTTCTAGCCGGTTTGGCTCAACGGTTAGAGCATCAGCCCACAGACCAAAGAGTCTCAGGTTCGATTCTGGTCAAGAGCACATACCTCGGTTGTGGTTTATCCCCAGCCCTGGTTGGAGTTGTGCGAGAGGCAACCAATCAATGTGTCTCTCTCACATCGGTGTTTCTCTCTTTTTCTCTCTCCCTCCCACTTTCTCTGAAGATAAATAGAAAAAAATATCCTCAGGCGAGGACTTTTTAAAAAAAATTGTGGCCCCGCCGGTGTGGCTCAGTGCTTGGGCATTGACCCATGCACCCAGAGGTCACTGGTTTGATTCCCGGTCAGGGCACATGCCCAGGTAGTGGGCCAAATCCCCAGTGGGGGGCATGCAGGAGGTGGCCAATGTTCTCTCTCATCAGTGTTTCTGTCTCTCTCTCCCTTCCTTTCTCTAAAATCAATAAAGAAAAAAAAATTTTTTAAGTGTGAAGTAGTGTCTCATAGTTTTGATATGCATTTTCCTTTCTATTAGTAATGTTGAACATCTTTTCATGTGCTTATTGGTAATTTGTGTATCTTCGTTTATTTTTGTGTATCTTCTTTAGAGAAATGTCTCTTCAAATTCTTTGCCCATTTTAAAATTGTTTTTTGGGTTGTTGAATGTAGGTTTTTAAAAACATATTCTGGATTATTAATCCCTTATAAAATACATGATTTGCAAATATTTTCTCCCATGCCGAAGGTTGCCTCTTCACTGTCCTTTGATGCAGTTTTTAATCTTGATGAAGTCCAATTTATCTATTCTTTTCATTTCCTGTTTTTGGTGTCATATCCAATAAACCAGTGCCAAATCCAATGTCATGTAGCTTTTCCCATTTTAAGAGTTTTATAAGTTTAGCTCTTATATTTAGGTCTTTGATCCATTTTGAGTTAATTTTTGTACATGGTGAAAGGTAGGGGTCCAACTTTATTTTTTTGCATGTGGATATAATAAGTTTTCCAAACATGATTTGTTGAAAACCATCCTTACCCCATTAGTTTTGACACTTTTGTCAAAAATAATTTGATCATATATGTGAGGCTTTATTTCTTAAGAAAAAAACAACAACTATTTAACTAAACTCCAGATTTTATTCAGATTTCACTAGCTTTCCCACTAATGTCTTTTTTCTAGTTCAGAATCTAGCCCAGGATACTTTACATTTAGTTGTCATGTCTCCTTAGCCTCCTCTGGTGTGTAACAGTTTCTCAGTATTCTCTTACTTTTCCTGACCTTGGGTAGTTCTGAGTACTGGTCAAGTATTTTGTAGAACGTCCTTCATTTGGGTTTGTCTGATGTTTGCTCGTGATTCAAATGGGTTATAGGTATTTGGAGAAAATACCACTGAGGTGAAGCAGCCCCTTGATTACATCATACCAGGAGGGATGTGATAGTCACATGTCAGCACTGACGTTAACCCCGGTCATTTGGTTAAGCTAGTGTTTGCCAGGTTTCTCCACTGTGGGGTAACTTGTTTTTCCTGTCTATTCACTGGATTTGAGTCACTGAGTCCAGTTAAGTGAGGAAGGACATGCTCCACCTTCTGGAGCGTAGTAGAGTCTACATATATTATTTAGAATTCTTTAAGATTTCTTTTTTCCTCCTCCTCTGTTTTAGAAAATATTTTTGCCTCCTATGCAGGCATCCTAGGAATGTACTTAGTTTTGCTTGTTTATGAAACTTTCCTGGTCATGAACATTATTTAGAGAACTTTGCTATTAAAGAGCAATGCTATCTTCTGGTACTCATGTGCAGTCTGTAGGAAATATACCTAGGAGTGGAAATGCTGGGCTGTAGACGGTGTGTTATATTCAAATGTGCAGGAAGTGTCAGACTGTTTTCCAAAGTGTCGTTTCAATTTGCATTCTCACCAGCAGTGCATAAAAGTTCCTACTATTCCCCATCCTCGCCAGCACTTGCTATTCTTAGTCTTACCCATTTTTGCCAGTCTCGTAGGCATAAAACGGTATCTTATTATGATCTTAATTTGGTTTTTCTAAATTACTAATGAGCATCTTTTCATGTTTATTCTCCATTTGTATATTACTTTCTACAAAATATCTGTCAGTGTCCTTTGCCATTTTTTTTTTTTAAATCCTCACCCAAGGACATTTTTCCATTTTTTGTTCAGATAGAATGGGAGGGGGGGAGAGAGAGAGAGAGAGAAACATCGATGTGAAAGGGACACATCGAGTGGCTGCCCCCCACACAACCCAACCAGGGCCGGGAACAAACTGCAACCAAGGTACGTGCCCTTAGCGGGAACCGAACCCAGGTCTCTCGGGACCGCAGGCCAATGTTCTAACCACTGACTGGCCAGGGCATAAATTTTAAAAAGCTTTTTACCTTTTGTATTTAACTTATCTATAATTGATTTTTGTGGTATTTATGTAAATATAATGGTTTTCAGTATTAACTCACATTATGTTGAAATCACCAATGAAATCATGGGGGAAATGATGCTGAAACTCTCAAATGCCCTTTTTTAAAACATATTTTTAAAAATGTATTTTAATAATTTTTTAGATAGATAGGAAGAGAGGGCGAGAGATAGAAACATGGATACGGGAAACATCGATCGGCTGCCCCTGCACACTCCTACACCGGGAATTGAGCCTACAACCCAGGCACGTGCCCTGACTAGGAACAGAACCAGGGACCTTTTCGTGCATGGGACAATGCTCCATCCACTGAGCCACAAGAGCCAGATTCAAATGCCCTTCTAAGACGTTAGAACTTACTCCCTTGCCCAATCTGTCCCTGAACTAGAGGATGATTCTGATTGCCAGTAACTTTCATAGACCTAATAATCAACATTCACACAAATGGCCGCAATTTAGATTTTTGCTTCTTCAAAGCACTAACATACATGTTATTTAGAGCAGTTTGGTTGTCAAAAAATAAAGATAATTTTTAGTATGTTGATCAAAATTTTTAAATTTCTTTATACTTCATTTAAATCTTGGCAAACAGAAGCATCTCCAAACAGTGAAATAAATTTACTTCAATTTAGCAATGGGGGAAAAGGTATTATTCTAATGAAGGATCCTCTTTATGTTCCTAACAGCCTCATGATTGACTAAAATAGTTAGAAGTTACAAATGAGGAATCAAAGGCAAAAATCCGCCCCTAAGCCAAGAGAACCACCTTTGTCTCAATAAAAAAAATAAGGCAAAGCTCTGCCCAGTGTGGCTCAGTGATGAAAGCATTGGGCATCGCACCAAAGTGTTGCAAACATTTGACTCCCAGTCAAGAGCATGTACCTGGGTTGCAGGTTCGATCACTGGTCCAGTTGGGGCACGTGAGGGAGGCAACCAATCAGTATGTCTCTCTCACATCAATGTGTCTCTCTCTCTCTCTCCTTCCCTCTCTTCCACTCTTTCTAAATATCAATGGAAAAAAAATCCTTGGGTGAAGATTTTAAAATAAATAAATAAATAAATAAACAAGGCAAACAGTTCTCCAATATCTCTCCACTTTATTAAGGTTAACCAACATGGTATTTATGTTTCTAAACATTTACTGTAAGTTTTCAGTGATATTTAGATTCTGAATTATCTTTCCATAATTAAGTAAACATAGGCACATTGGTTTGTATTTATAGAAAACACTTAGCTTTTAGGTAACAAATAGAAATGAGTATATTTGCAAATGTTACAAAGATGATTTCAAATCTCAGCTAACCTCTTTTCCAAACTTCAGTCACTTGTTCAGTCATTAATGAAAATAACAGACCAAAAACAAATGCTTAAATGTATTACGTGTGAGATTCTGGCGACTAAGAAATCCCTGAAAAAGCAGTAAACTGTGATTATTGAAAAGCTCAAGACACTGGCAAGGCTTAATTGCAAAGTATTTAACAGAAGGCCACAAATTTTGTTTTCCTAAGAGGAAGTAGGAACTATAGGTGTCATTTAGTAATGCATTGAAATGGCATTGCCTAGTGTGTGTTGCACAGAAACTCCAGGTCACCGCTTCTTGATCTGTTACTTTGGATAAGCTTCCACTATCATAGCATGGCCCTGTGGAAAAAAAAAGTTCAGTGAGAGCAATGAACAATGAACCCAGCCAGTACAGAGGCAGCAGAGAACAATGGGGACAGTACAGGCTTTGGAGTTTGATGTTGGCTCTGCCATCCAAACACTGTGTGATCTTAGAATAGCCATTCTGAACCTCAAGATCATTTATAGAATGGGGCTCATGGTACCTACTTCATAGTGCTTTTGTGAGCATTAAATTAGATAGCATACTATATATACATACACACACACACACACACACACAATTCTATGTACACATATATACATGTATACATATACACAATGGAGTCTGTTTAGTAGAGTCTGATTCCTAGTGGATGCTCCATAAGTGGTTGCTATTAACATGAGAAGCCACAACCAAAGAACTTATATGCCTGTATGTATAACCAATGGACACAGGCAATAATGCTGGGGGGGTGGGGGGTAGGATGGGGAGGAAGGTGTCGGGGGGGGGAAAAAGGAAAAATATCTGTAACAAAAATAAATTAATAAAAGTTGAAAAAATAAAATGAGAAGCCACAGGTGGCTTTTATAGCTGTATAAATATAAACATAATACAGTGCATGCCAACAACAGAAAATTTCTAGATTAGAAAACTGAGGCTTTGAAAGGTTAGATTGCTCATCCAAATCCACAATGCTATTAATGCTATTAAATAATAGGGCCAGGATTTACATACAGGTCTAGATGATCCAAAGCCAAAGACTCTTCTTTACTATTCTACTCAGGGGAAGATGATCCAAGGGCCCACAAAGGTAAGAAGGTAGAAAATCCCTTCTCCAGCACTATGCACAGTGCTGTGCACTAACTATCTCCCTAGTTGAAACCAAGCACAGAAATTTATAATTTCATGAGTCTAAATCCTATCAGATAATCACAGCCATTCTATCTTTTGGACTGCAATTAAACCATTTAATAGCCTAACTAATGCTTAGCTACTTGGTTCAATCCAATCCCCATGAATATTTATTAAGAAACTATAATTTATAAGTCAGCAAGCTGAACACTGTGTGGGTACAAAGCTTTGCTACATGGTGTCTGTCCTCAATTTAGTATGCACTATATTCCTTGATATAGGAACAAGCAAAAAAAAAGGAACAGGAATGGAAAGGTCTGACTGACTTGGAATTACCTTAGAAGAGTCCATGATAAGGCAGAAATTTTCTTCTCCACCTTTATTTAAAAGGCATTGGTTTCAATGTTTCAAATCTCTCAGATTGCTCTAAATCAGTAGTTCTCAACTGGAGGTGATTTTGCTCCTCAACTTACCCAGAGGACATTTGAAAATGTCTAGAGATAGTTTTGATTGTCCCAACTGTGTGTACATGGGAAGGGGAGTGTTACTACTGGTATCTCTAGTGGATAGAGACCATGCAAAACATCCTACAACACATAGCAAACCTCCCACAACAAAGAGTTCTCTAGCCCAAAATGTTACTACATATGGAGGCTGAAAAACCCTGCTCTAGATTCACAGTGATGGACTCCCCTGATTCATCATTCCTCTGATCTAATCATGCCTGTATCACTCATTTGCTCTGGACGAAACAATGCCAAATTTAGTTTCTAAGATGTATCACCTTTCTCCTCACTATTCTGAAATCTTCCAGAAGGTACTGGGTATTATTCTTTGTTCATCCACATAAGTATGTAGTATTGTGTTATTTACACTCTATGTGCGAGATAAAAAATTAGAGAACAAATACTGAAAACTAAAGGACATTAACCTATCTGAACTACATGCTACACACAGTGCTGGGCAGCCGCCGTCGCCTCTGTTTAGGCCTGGCATAGAAGGGTAAGAGGGCGGGCTCTGGTCCCAACTGACTATGCTTTCTGTAAAAAAGTTAACACAGATTACAAAATGCTTTTGATCATAAAGTCTAAAATATTCCAACCTATAAATAATTGACCCTTTGTTTCTTCAAAGTCTCTGAGGAAAAGCCTTAAATACAGACTTTAAATGTAAAATGTTTATACTTTTACATATTTTATTTCTTCATCTTGATTAGCAACAGAGAGTTTCTGTAATCTGAAAAAATCTGTTTCCATCGGGGTTAAAAAAAAAAAAAAGAGATTACAGCCTGGCTGGTGTGGCTCAGTCACTGAACGTCAACCCATGCACCAAGAGGTCACTGGTTTGATTCCCGGTCAGGGAACATTCCCAGGTTGTGGGCCCAGTCCCCAGTGGGGTCATGCAGAAGGCGGCCAGTCAATGTTCTCTCTCATCGATGTTTCTATCTCCCTCTCCCTCTCCCTTCCTCTCTAAAAGCAATTAAAAAAGAGAATTAAAAAAAAAAAAAAAAGAGTACAGCTAGCCTTCCCTTTGGATTTTATTCCCAGAGTGAAATGCTATAGGGGTAGGAGTTGCATCTGTACTGCGAGTAAAGCAGGCAGATAAAAATCTGTAGAATGGTCACAGCCATTCTCTTCAGCTAAACAGCAGTAAGTTATCCTGAGGTAAATTAATTATGCAATTAAGGTATATTGTTCGGTTCTCAAGAAAGACAATTTACCTCTTGGAGAAATTTTATAGCTAAGTCTCATATAGATAAGTGACTGATTAACAAATAAAATTTTATTACTAAAGAAGAAAATATATTGAAGTGTGAATAATGAGTGGTGAGGGAATTATAGGTGTTCTAATTTTTTTCTATATATTTTTTATATTTTGCATAATTACCATAATGAGCACATATTACTTTTATAAACAAAACATATAAACGTGATTTTAGAAAAAAATATCTTGGATTTAAATAGCATCTTCTTTCCAAAGTACTATCAGAATTAAAGTTGTACCCCGTCCCTGCAAAAATAACCTGATTTTTTTCTGATTGCCTGTCATCAGACATACTGTTCTAAGAATGTTTCTAAACAAACTAAATCATTCTTGAGTGAGCTTGTTTCATTTCCAAGAAAATCACTTTCTAGAAGCTCCTGTGAAACTGCTGAGACATACCTGCCCTCCAGCTGCACACGCAGCCACTAACCCAAACTGGCCTCCTTCTTTTCGTAATCTGTTGGCAGCTGCCATGACCAACCGACAGCCAGTGGCTCCAAATGGGTGTCCCAGGGACAGCGATCCACCCCAGTTGTTAAACTTCTCCAAAGGAGGCGCTCCAACCTGGTTCACATAAAAACAGACACAAATATAAAGATGATAGAAAAGAATCAAGCCAGGCCCTTAGTAAAAAGTAACAGAATAAAACATAACCAACAAGACACATCATAAATATTTTACTGCAAAAGAAAAATTCTAGGTCAATTCTAAAAGCCAAGGGTCCATTTATTTTTATTTTTTTGGATGGGATGTCTTAAAGATTTTATCTCAGTGCCCCCACATTTATGTACTTCATTTCTTTTTCATCTAACATCAGAATGGGAAGAACAAGAACAACCTAAAATTTTGCTTTTATTTTTTTTCTTAAGAACTTCCAGGAATATTTTGAAACTAAGAAATACGCATTTAAATGAAACATAAAATTTCTCATAGGAGAAACTTTCCACTTCATATTTTACTGTCAGGTAAACTAGACTCCAAATATTAAAGTGCTTTGGAAATTCAAGCATATTTTCAATCAGAAACTTACCTTGGTTTTTCTACCCATGTAGTTTTGTGCAAACCAATCAGAATCCATGGCTTTAAAATTAGCCAAAATCTGACCCTAGAAGGAAAAATAATTCAATAAGGACCTTGTTATTAATGTTTCTCAGGGTTTTATTTTACGCATGAGTTATCTAACTTTAAGGGGCTGAGCAAATTTTAAAATCAGTTTTCACTGAAATTTTTCTAAAGAAACAATTTGAATACTTTTGAAGAACCTTTAAGAGAGAGCCTCAATCCCATTTATCATCGCAGCAAAAAAAATTAAGATACTTAGGAATAAACTTAACCAAAGAAATAAAGGACCTATTCGCAAAAAACTACAGGTCATTGAAAAAAGAAATAGAGGAAGATATAAAAAAGTGGGAGCACATACCATGTTTATGATTGGAAGAATCAACATCATTAAAATGTCCATACTACCCAAAGCAATCTATAGATTCAATGCCATCCCCATCAAAATACCAAAGGCATACTTCACAGCACTAGAACAAATACTTCAAAAGTTCATATGGAATCAAAAAAGACCTCAAATAGCCACAGCAATTTTGAAAAAGAAGAACAAAGTTGGAGGGATCACAGTATCAGATTTCAGGTTATACTACAAAGCCACTGTAATCAAAACAGCTTAGTAGTGGCACAAGAACAGACATATAGACCAGTGGAACAGAACAGAGAACCCAAAAATGGACCCAAGGCAATATGCTCAATTAGGTGGCAAGAGCATACGGTGGAGTAAAGACAGCCTCTTTAATAAATGGTGTTGGGAAAATTGGACAGCTACATGGAAAAAAATGAAACTAGACCATCAACTTACACCATACACAAGAATAAACTCAAAATGGATAAAAGACTTAAATGTGACTCATGAATCCATAAAAATCCTAGAAGAAAATGTAGGCAACAAAATTTCAGATATCATATGCAGAATTTTCACTGTTACATCACCTAAGGCAACAGAAACAAAGGAGAAAATGAACACATGGGACTACATCAAATTCAAAAGCTTCTGCACAGCAAAAGATACAATCATCAAAATAAAAAGGCAACAAACTGTATGGGAGAGCATAATTGCCAATGATATATCAGATAAAGGGTTAATTTCCAATATATATAGAGTGCTCATACAACTCAACAAAAGGAAGACAAAGAACCCAATTAAAAAATGGGCAGAGTAGCTAAATAGACACCTCCAAACAGGACATACAAATGGCCAAGAGACATATGAAGAAATGCTCAACATCACTAATCATCAGAGAGACGCAAATTAAAACAACAATCATCTCACACCTGTCAGAATGGCCGCCATCAACAAATCATCAAACAACAAGTGTTGGCGAGGGTGTGGAGAAAAGGGGACTCTAATACACTGCTGGTGGGAATGCAGACTGGTGCAGCCACTATGGAAAACAATATGGTGTTACCTCAAAAAATTAAAAATTGAAATTCCATTTGACCCAGTGATCCCACTTCTAGGAATATACCCTAAGAAGCCTGAAACATCAATCAGAAAGAATATATGTACCCCCATGTTCATAGCAGCACTATTTACAATAGCTAAGATCTGGAAACAGCCCAAGTGTCCATCAGTAGACGAATGGATAAAAAAAGCAGTGGTACATATACACAATGGAGAACTACACAGCTGTAAGAAAGATCTCTTATCCTTTGAGACAACATGGAGGGACCTGAAAAGTATTATCCTAAGTGAAACAAGACAAGCAGAGAAAGACAAATATCACATGATCTCACTTATTTGTGGAATATAATGAATATAACAGTCTGAGGAACGGGATAGTCCCAGAGACATGGAAGTGGGGTACAGACTGACAATCCCCTGAAGAGGGGGTTGGGGGGGGGAGTGATAAACCACAGAACTTATATGCATGTATATATGAACAATGGACATGGACAACAAAGGTGGGGACAGGGTGGGGAGAGAGGGGTAGGGGAGAATCAGTGAGGGAAAAAGGAGAAACATCTGTAACAAACATAAGTTAATTAAAAAATAAAAGAGAGAGAGCCTCAAAAGGTTTGTTTTTTAACAATGTACACATGGCCCTGGATTCTCTCCCCCTTGCACCCCTGCCAGCATTGTAAGTCAGTACTTCATAGATAAAAGTCCACTTCCATTTTACTCATAAACCACACCATGCTCTCTCCCACAATGACTACATTTTTTATTATTACAGTTCTTTAAAATGACTTACTGAGAACGCTTCATGAAATTCAAAAGCATCAATATCATTCATTGTTAATCCTGCCTTTTCTAGAACTTTTGGAGTAGCATATGTTGGTCTGAAAGGAAAAAATAAGTAGTATTAAAACTTTAACTTTTAACCTAAGAGCTACTTCATATTCCCTGAACTGAGTTTTACATAGGTTTTAGAATGTTTCCACTCATTCACTGATTCTATTGTACAAATATTAAGTATTGGGGATACAATAGTGAACTGAATAGACATGGCCTTAGTCCTTATGCAGTTTATATTCTAGAGTCAGGGAAATAAAAAAAACAAACAAGTTAACAGTGAAAGGGAAAGACAAACTAATAATGTGAAGAGCAAAAACAGAGCTCAAAGGGCAAAGCACAGAAGAGGGAATGGCTGGTTTGAAGGCCATAATGGAGGCCAGTGAGGGAGAGCCTTGTGAGGGAGAGGGAGGTAGTCTAAAACAAGGAGGCTTTTATAAAAGGCTCTTCTGAAGATTGTGCAGCAGAGTGGGTGGCAATATGAAAAAATACTTATATGGCCCTGACCAGCTTGGCTCAGCAGTTAGAGCATGGGCCCATGGACCCAAGGGTCACAGGTTTGATTCCCTGTCAAGGGCACATACCTGGATTGCAGATTTGATTCCCAGCCCTGATCAGGGTCCTGTGGAAGGCAACCAAGCAATGTAGACACATCAATGTTTCTCTTTCTCTCTCTCTCTCTCTCTCTCTCTCTCTCTCTCTCTTTCTCTCTCTCTCTCTCTCTCTCTCTCCCTCCCTCCCTCCTTCTCTCCCTCCCTCTTTCCCTCCCTTCCTCCCTCCCTTGCACTCTATCCAAAAAAGTCAATGGAAAAATATCCTCAGATGAGGGTTAACAACAAAAAATACTTACATGTTAATAAAAAAACAAAACAAAAGTAAGTGTGTGTGTGTGTGTGTGTGTGTGTGTGTGTGTATAAAATTATAGGAATAAGTGGAAAAGAATCCCAAACTATAAAATGATATACCAACGTTGCTTCTTAGCCTCTTGTTAAGATCAAGTGTAAAATGACATACCAACATACAGGATATTATTTTTTGTTTTTGTTTTTTTATTATTTTTGTTGTTGCTGTTAATCCTCACCAGAGGATATCTTTCCGTTGATTTTTTAGATAGAGTAGAAGGGAGGGAGGGAGAGAGAAAGAGAGAGAAACATCTATGTGAGAGGGACACATTGACTGGCTGCCTCCTGGCTCTAGGATCAAACCTGCAACCCAAGTTCATGCCCTTGGTGCGTGCCCTTGACTGAGAATCAAACCCTTGACCCTTCAATCCACAGGCCGATACTCTAACTGCTGAGCTAAACTGGCCAGGGCTGTTTTTTTTTTAAATCCAACACACAAACTAATAATGAGCTCAGGGCTTAACATACTTTAAAATCTGTGTAATAAATGTGGGCAATCAAGGATTTATACACTGCCACCTACCCAAGCAAAAGTTGATCTTTTGGATCTTGAGACACGTACACAAAATCCCTAGGTAAAAAAATAGAGAGGTTAGCTTCAGTGATAAATAAAGAAACCAGAAGCAATTTATTTAAACATTTACTTTACCTCAAATATGCCTTCGGCTTATAACCCATGGCCAGAGCCTTTTCCTCTGCCATAATTAGCATTGCAGATGCACCATCAGTCTAAAACATTAATCAGAACAATAACGTTAAATTCCTCAGTCTGTCTGAAGGTCTCTTTATTGCTGTCTTCTTCTATGTTCTGTTCCTGAATCTACCAACTAATTATAATTACATAATGGTTCTACATAACAAAACCTTTCCACTTAATTCATCATTAAGTCACAATTCAAACACCCACACTACAGAGTGTTTGACCCATTTTTGGAGGATGGTCAAAAAGTACCACACAATTACTAAAATGGACAATGAAAACAGGTATAAATATATACATATTTAGAAATATGTATTCATAATAAAACATTTTTGGCATAGAATGAGAAATTTTATGCATTGAAACAATCTCTGATTTGCTTATTTATTTTTACATTTTCTGGACTGTTTCTCAGCTGCTTCCTGCTGTGGCTTCTAGGTGATATTCTTCTACTAATAGTTTCCAAAACAAGCAAACCAATGGGAGAAGAGAAACAGGCAGGCAGCTGAGAACATGAGAACCACGGTCTTCCCTCTTTGGACACACCCCGTATGCTTTTTCCCAAATGATAATTGAGAAGCTGGGGCACAAAGAGGTACTACTGAAAAAACGTCTATTACCATGACTTCAAAAGAGCTAAAAAAAAAAAAAAAAAAAAAAAAAATTCACCAAAATTCCAGAGAAAAAGAAACTACTCTGTAGAGTTTGCAAAATAAAAACAATTTCTACCAATTCTACCATATTTTTATAACTCAGTAATCCTGAAGAGACAATGTAGGCACCACCAATAGAGTTTGGAAACATAGCTTACTATACATACATGACTTATGGACATCACATTAATAATATGTTCAATGCACCACTGTGCAAAATTGCAATAAATGTGGTGCATTAACATATTTCCAGAAAACCACATATCTATGAAGTACTGCCTCTGATGATTTGTGTTTCTGGTTTTCAATAAATAAACCTGCACACTCCAGAAGTAATTAAGGGAATTCAGATCTGGCAAGAGTGTAGCTCATGCCACATGGCACTGTCACATCCAATTTGGTTTTAGAAATGATCATCTAACCAGTCCTTCACCACTCAGGCTTAATGGGCTGTGCGCCGTCCTGTTGGAACTACTCTAGGCACCCTTTCCCTAGACCAACAGCAGTCACTAAATAGTCACCTACCCAGGCCAAATATGTCAAACATCTGCCTGTGTTTCTAGACTTTATGTTCAGGTAGGGGAGTTATGTTGTAAACGAAATAGTGACCAGATGGACTACATTCAGAAGATTAAGGTTGTAGGAGAAGGGAAACCACATTTTATAAGCAAAAGCAGAATCAACAGAATCAATAGAGATATTTGTGCCCCCCCAGACCCCCAAAACAGGAAGAATATGAAGCTGCCTGCAGATAAATAAAATAGCAACAACATAAAACGAGGGTATATTTATCCCACGATAGGAAAATAATTTCAGAGTCAGTATAAAGAATCATTTTCTAATGCTCAGGGCTAGAAGAGTTATCTTGTCGCTCTTTCTGCTTACTTTTCCATATCTTATATGACTCCCTAAATTCAGAACCTATGTTCCAACCAAACTTTACCCCAAAGAGGCCTTTGCTCTCATACCTCCTTGATTTTGCATTTGCAATTCCCTTTGTCTAGAATGCCTTTCATACATTTCTTGAAATGGCTTGTACTCTTCCCTCAAGATTTGCTTCTCAAGTGTTAACCACCTCTGAAAAGCCTCTGACTCCCCCAGCTATGTAACTTCTCCAGCAGGCTACGCTTGTAGCCACCAGTGTTTTCCCTTCTATTACAACCATCTGTTCTTTTTATCTCCAATGCCTAGTATAGGCAATCAAAACTTTTCAACTGGCTGAGTGTTTGAAGAGGATAGCTCTTTGTATCAGAATGGTGACTGGATCAGATGACTTCTAAGGCCTTAAAAACTCTGATTCCATTTTAATTATCTTTACAAATGAATATCTTTTTAAGCCTCTATTCATAATACAAACAGATAGGCCTACTTACTTTAGGCTTTTCTGTTGAGAGTACACAAATATAAATATAAGCCCTGGCTGGGTAGCAAAGTTGGTTGGAGCATCATCCCAATGCGCCAGGGTTGCTGGTTTGATCTCTGGTCAGGGTGCATATAGGAATCAACCAATGAATGTACAAATGGGTTAAACAATGAATCAATGTTTCTCTCTCTCTCAAAAAAAAAGAGAGAGAGAGAGAGAAACAGTACACAAGTATAAAAGTCCCTGGTAAACACATATAGCACATAGTTACCAGGAAAGAAGAATTTGCGGCTGTCACTGTGCCATAGGGCTTGATGAATGCAGGTTTTAGTTTGGCCATCTGCTCCAGGGAGGAAGGACGGATGCCATTATCTTTGGTAACTGTATCTTTTCCTATAAAAATATAAACTTTTTAACTCAAGGAACTACAAGCATTATTTATCTTCTCTAGAGAAATATGCTTTAAAAATTATAAGAACAAATAAAATATAAACCATACCTATTCGCTAAAAAGAAAGCCTTTTATAATTATCAAGATATTATCAAATTTTAAGCTAAATTCTTAAAACAGAAAAAAAATCTAAATAATTTAACAAAAAAAGCAACACTCTACTTTCTTAAGATATTCATTCATTCACATTTGGCTATTCTATACAGAAATCATATATCAAGAAGATGTAAAAGGAGACTTATAAAAACTTCTCTTTAAAATGTTTACCTATTGTTACAACATAACTTAAAACTTGAGTCCATGTTTATGCATAAAAGCTGAGTATTTTAGAAACAGAACCTACATTTTTTTTTTTTTTAGAAAGAGAGAGAGAAACAGTGATCAGCTGCTTCCTGCACGCCCCCTATTGGGGATTGAGCAGGCAACCTGGGCATGTGCCCTGACAGGGGATTGAACAGGGACCTCTCAGTCCACGGGACAACGCTCAATCCACTGAGCCACATTGGCCAGGTCAGAACCAACATATTAACTGAAAAGTCATTTGGGGTTTTGGGGGTTTTAGGAGCAATTCAAACCACCTTAACAAGTGTCATGCAGCAGTCCCCTTTACAAAAAAAGAGCTAACTATTTTACCTGGTACTTTGAACGGTACAACATCAGAAAGCAGACCTTCATCCTGTGCCTTCTTGGCCAGGCTATGTGAACGCAGCGCATACTCATCCTGTTCCAGCCGAGAAACAGCAAAGGCAGCAGCCAGTCGGTCTGCAGAGTGGCCCATGGTCTCACTGGTAGAGAACTCGGCCACTGCAGGGAGCTGGGAGAGGAGACATACAGAATCAGGTACGCTGTTAACAGGTGTTATACCACACAAGAACAAGACGAGGGAAGCTCTATGGTAATAGGACATCTCTAAAGAGGGCTTACCAATTCAAATTTTCCAACCATCACCTTCTCCCCCCCCCCACCTTAACCAAATAATTAACTGTGCCCTATAACAATTACAGCATAACTGAATCTGTGCTGTCTTATCTAATTCTGAATCTCTGCAGTGGGACACCTGGGAAACACAAACCTTTATGTAAGAGTTCACAAGTCTTACCTCAGGTGCTAGGAAATTCAATCTGAATTTAGAGATTAAAGATAGTCGCTGACCCAGAGTCTTGGCCTTATTGAGCTCAAGCATCATTTTCCTCATTTTCCTTGAATGACGAATGGGGACATCAGACATTAATTCTACACCACCTGCCACAATCACATCAGACTGGCCAGAAGCAATCAAGCCAACACCTACAGGGCACAGGTCAACATACATGAACATTTTTTGCAGAACTTAACAGGCCATTGATAATTTAAGCACTTGATTTAAAAGTTGTATGACAGTCATGAGCATTGTACAGCAGCTGTAACTAAGGTTTTTATCTTTTCAGAGGGATTAGGATGATTTTTTTTTTTTTTTTAATGACTAAAAGTACATTCAAGGCACTAGAGAAAAACAAGTTTCATTCAGGCCACATACACATCTTAAAATATTCACTGGACCAACTCTCAAACAAATCATATTCTAAACCAGAACTTTCAGCATACTTTATATACTCCTAGTTTTAGTTTTCAGATATTTTTACTGTAAAGAGAGTTTCAATATCTACTATAAGCCAAAGAAATTTTCACTTTTGAAATGTAAGGCAGCTCCCCTCCTTCCTTATGGCACTGGCAAGTATTTTGTTGCTGGAACTGGGAGCGATCACATGCTGGGTGGGGTGATCACTGTCACCCTTGGGGTAGGCTGTCCAACATGGCCTTGAGGTTCATAAGAGAACACATGATTACTGTATCTTTCACATTTCCTATCTTTTCCATGAGGATTGATACTACAAAATGTCCCACAATTTTGTTCAAGTTTGTTAGGAGAATTTGCAAATAATTATAATAAATGCCAAGGAGAAGAAAAAGCTGTACTATCTAAAGCACTGTGGTGATGGGGGGAGAGGAAGGCCACAATCTCTGTGGCAGTATCATATCAGAATCACCTACCTTTATAACCTAGCAGGTTATAAACTAGTCATGCCTCAAATCCAAAAGCACCCTCTTAGAAACACACTCCTCCAGTTGATAATACAAAATTTTAAATGTTTCCTTATTTTTAAAAAAAACACAAATTCAGAGATCTGTGCTTATTATTTACTTCTGTTAAGAGTAATTTTTAATGAGCAAATAAAAGACAAAAGAGAATTACCATGTACCTTCTGCTTTCAGAAAAAACATACCTGTAGTCATGGCTTGATTGGCAGAGATGCAAGCCATGGTGACAGTGTGAGCAGGAGTCTTGTCAGAGAAGCCAGCTCCAAGGGCAGCCTTCAGAAAACACAGTGAATGAAATCATGTTACAGGTAGATGATGCTTTGAGCACTACTTATCTGTGTGGTGAATCGGGAAAGGGGTTGAGTTTAATATTCTATCCAGTAACATTTAAAATAAAATTAAGCCCATCACAGAAATGTTTTACTCATTTTTCATCTAACTATTAATTAGTAAACCCTCCGCAAAATTCTTTTTTTTTTTTTTTTTTTTTATCCTCACCCGAGGATATTTTCCATCTTTTGTACAGATAGAGTGGGAGGGAGAGAGAGGAAGAGAGAGAGAGAGAGAGAGAAACATCGACGTGAAAGGGACACATCGAGTGGCTGCCACCCGCACGACCAACCAGGGCCGGGGACAAACTGCAACCGAAGTACATGCCCTTAGCGGGAACCGAACCCGGGTCTCTCCCGACCGCAGGCCGATGCTCTAACCGCTGAGCCAAACCGGCCAGGGGGTAAAAATTCTTGGTAGCTAGTTTCTAGTATGGTAGACAAACCTACAACACCTCACCTCATTTCTTTTTTTTTTCTTTTTTTTTTATCCTCACCCGAGGACACTTTTCCATTTTTTGTTCAGATAGAGTGGGAGGGAGAGAGAAAGAAAGAGAGAGAAACATCGACGTGAAGGGGACACATCAAGTGGTTGCCACTCACACGACCCAACCAGGGCCGGGGACAAACTGCAACCAAGGTACATGCCCTTAGCAGGAGCCAAACCCGGGTCTTTCGGGACTACAGGCAGACGCTCTAACCGCTGAGCCAAACTGGCCAGGGACTCACCTAATTTCTTAGCAACGCTTTGCTCAGAGCCTTCAGAGATATCAATACATAATTTGATTTCAACGTATTTAAATTTTCAAATAAACTTAAAGTAAACCTATTAAAAACAGTTGATGAAATGATAAAATATATCATAGGGTGGGGTCCTCATGATCTGTATTCCTACAGTCAAAAAGCTTAGTAGCAAAAGTCACCAAACATGAAAATAAGTTCTAAGGAACTGTCCACTCATAAACAGTTTTCACTTATGTCCCTGCCCATTTTACACTCGTCTCCACGCTGTCTGTCAGTCAGTCTCTCTCACTGACTGTCTGATACTTCAGATGGCACCCTGTAGATCCAATGCGAAATCAAAGAGGAAAACTTGCCAAATAAGTTGATTAAAGGAATTTTGGAAAATTGCCTGAGTCACAAGTGAGCCTCTGACAAATAAGTGTTAGAACTGTTAATAACTGGAAAAAAAAAACCATTGGCCAGGATAATGACACAATAGGTGCTGCAAAAGCAATTTAAGGGGCCTTGAGAAAAACTAAGACCCTATGTTCATCTTGAAAAAATGGCCTCTGTTATAATGGCACAGCAAAGTTAAACATGAAATGAGCATATCCAGTATTTTATCACACTATTTATTGGAGATATTAGGCTGCCAAAAAAACAATCAATGCCTGATTCCATTGTTTATGTGAAGAATTAATGCACAGGTGTAACAATAAAACACCTCTTTTTTTTTTTTTTATTAATCCTCACCCGAGGACATTTTTCCATTTTTTGTTCAGACAGAGTGGGAGGGAGAGAGAGGAAGAGAGAGAGAGAGAAACATAGACGTGAAAGGGACACATCGAGTGGCTGCCACCCGCACGACCAACCAGGGCCGGGGACAAACTGCAACCGAGGTACATGCCCTTAGCGGGAACTGAACCCGGGTCTCTCTGGACCCCAAGCCGACGCTCTAACCGCTGAGCCAAACTGGCCAGGGCTAAAATACCTCTTTTTATAACATTGAAGTTTCACTGTAAAAATAACACTTTCAACTCCCCCCCATTCCCAACTATTACTATGAAATTTTGATTTCCATTAGGAGAATTCATTTTTAGTGGCCTTTTCTGAAACTATTTAACTATCCTCAGAATAAATGTGTTTCCAAACTCTAGATTAAAGAGGTTCAATGTTACTTAACTGATTTTTACCTTTATATTTATACTATCTGTATATAATTTACCATAACCTATAGAAATATAAATGTTACAGGAGTGTACACGCAACATGACCTTATTCTGGTCTTTCTAAGTAGGACTGATACTAAATGCCCAATTTATTTTGCTGAAAACTACCCCCTGCCGCCCTGTCCGGTTTGCTCAGTGGTTAGAGTGTCGACCTGTGGTCCAGAGAGACCTGGGTTCGGTTCCCGCTAAGAGCACATACCCCGGTTGCAGTTTGTCCCTGGCCCTGGTTGGGTCGTGCGGGTGGCAACCACTGGATGTGTTCTCTTCACGTCAATGTTCCTATCTCTCTCCCTCTTCCTCGCTCTCCCTCCCACTCTATCTGAACAAAAAATGGAAAAAATGTCCTCGGGTGAGGATAAAAACAAAAACAAAAACTACCCCCTGCCAACTGCATGTTGTAAACCAATTCAAAAATGAAGAGAAAGTCAACTCTTCAGGGGGCAGGGGAGAGCTCCACAGTAGAGCAAGTGTAAAGGACACTCAGGTCATAACAGCCAGCGCTCACGAGGTCCTTTCTAGCATGTGTAATACCCTTGGCCTCAGCTGACTCTCAGGATAGAAGGAGCTTTAAATAGAAGTAATTGCTGATGAGCCTTGTCCACATGCTTCTTCTATTTAAAGTTTGAATAGCTCTGGAGGCAAGCTTAGGCTCCTGACAGTACACTAAGGAGAAAGGAGAAAGGTGCCTCTTGGTTAAGATGGAGATCAGGGAGATATGCTTCAGGCAAGTCAGGTTCATGTGAACTCAGCACAGAAGCTTTTTAGGATTTCATATTAATGTTGTTAATACAGACAATAAGAACTAAAGAAATTCTCCAGCTGGAAGTTAAGTTAGCTTTCAGGTTACATATCTCCTCAACTCAACCTTTCCCTGCAGTCACTGCAAAAAGTGCCTGGAGTACAATGAAACTGGTGTCAGTCTAGGGCAGAGAAAGGGAATTTACCTCATGTGAATCAATAACTGGGATCTGCATATGGATGTAAAATTTCCAGAAGAAAAAAATGTCAGGGAAAAACATTATAGCTTCAGAGTTCGGATAGAATAGAAATAAACAGAAAATTCGAACAGTTTTCATATTTATTTTTTAAGCACTTTTATAGCAGTCACCTTGTTTTTTCAGAATATAAAAGTTGAAAATGTTTTATGAATAGCATGATATATTAATAAAATTATCATATTCAATACATTTAAAAATGTGAAGGCCCAGGGAAAAACATAAAAATCAGAGGAGGGTTAATAAAAACCTCTTCCTGTTCTTACTTCTTTCCTGATTTGCCAGCAACTTACGGTTGATTTTTGTGGGCTGCAGTAACGCCAGACCCTCAACAGTTATAACATTACAATATTACAACAGTTACAACATTAGTTGAACATGTACTCACAGGTAAAAAGGCGAGGCAGAACAGACACTTCAGTCCTGCTCATTTTCCCTTCTCTGGGCTGACAGTAATGGAGTAATTACCCTTACGACTACACTGAACAATAACATAGCAGGTACAGAGTAGAAATAAAGAAAACATTTAGCACACTAAAATGTGCTTTGGAGCCAACTTCATCCAAATAATCACTTTCAAATTAGAGAGCTCAGAAGATGTGTTTGGACTACTCAGCATGAAATGTCTGTTAGACATATCACACAAGTTCCATTATCTTGGTTACCCAATAAACACTACATGGAGCTATGCCAACTAGGGTAAAAGCAAACTCCTGTGAAATAGCTTTTTAAAAAACTGCCCTATGTGTCATCTAATCAATGGAAACAAATGAATAAGCAAGGCTACCTCCAACAAAAACCATGTTATGAAATAAGCTCTTTGCAAAATGTTAACATTTTAAGTTAATTAGAGGCCATGCTTTAATATTACTATAAAATCACATTAGCCACACTCTGCCATAATCTCTATTCTCCTAACAAAAGAGATAGACAAATTAACATTTCCCAAACCAGCTCAAATAACTGATTTTATTTTTGTATAGTATAAATATATACAAGTAGAATACAATGTACATCATTTGATTTAGAGAATTATTTTAAATAGTAAATAACATCCATTATTCAAGTTATAAAATCACATTATAAGTCAAATATAATTTTACTTAATGAATTTTAATAGCTTTTAAAGAGTGAATTCTATTAGTTGAAATTCAGATTGATTCTCCTATCAATTTCTTTAAACAATATAAAGTCCGTTTTACTCACCTCTCTAGCCACATTGCTTGTTTTCACTTCCTGTATAACTGTACCAAAGATGATATAATCAACAACTTCCTTTGGAACATTGGTCCGATGCAATAAACCCCTGAGGGCAGAAGGCCAAAGCAAAGAAACAGTTAACACAAAGTAGTGTGATAGATCATTTAAAACATAGCATTCTTTCATAGAATTTAAAAGAGCAAAAACTGCATCTTTTCCTTAATTTGACAAGCATGTGGATGGCATCTTATCAAAGAAGAAATAAATGAGTGATTAAAAAAGTCAACATGCGATGCTCAATTGGCAATGAGAAGTTATACAGACAGAATAAAAAATAATTTAGAATAGGACAAAACAAATAAGTAAACATAGCAATGTTAGTAGGAAGCAAATTTTCAGTCAAAAGACAAAAGAGACAAATATAAAATAAAAAAGTAGAAGTAAAATCCCAGGTATGTTAAATTTAACATTTGTATGTTAAATTTAAATTTGAAATATCAATGTAAATACATGATTTAAATAATATGTATACTAGTTCTCCCCACTGACAGACTAGAAGGAATAGGAATGAGCACACCCTGAACTCAGACTTGGTTCTAAATGCCATTCTCCATTAAAAGAATCAGAACTTGTTTAAAAATATTTTTTATTAATTTTTTTAGAGAGAGAGAGAGGAGGGGAGAGAGAGCGAGGAACACCAATGTGAGAGAGAAACACTGATCAGCTGCCTCCTGTAAACCCCCAACCGGGGATCGAGCCAGCAACCCAGGCATGTACCTCGACCGGGAATCAAACTGCGACCTCTCAGTCCATGGGATGACACTCAATCCACTAAGCCACACCAACTGGGCAAGAATCAGAATTTTTAAATAAATTACTGAGACTTGGTCTAAGGCAGGGAAAATATTTAAAGACTAATGGGACCACATCAAAAATTTTATCTATGGTAATGGTATGGCGGATAGCAGAGAGGTCCTTATTCTTTGGAGATATATACTGATGTGTTTAGGGCTGAAGTATTAAGATGCTGGCAATTTACTGTCATATGCTCCGCACCACACAGATATAGCAAATATGGCAAAATGGTAACAATTATTATAGATGCTCACTGAATTATTCTTTCAATTTTATTATATATTTGACATTTTCAAAAACAAAAAGTTGAGGGAAAACTTGCAAATCTCCAGCCTGGAACCATAATCAGAAATAGGAAAATTAGGTGGCTGTGAGAAAATATCATTTTTATTATTTTTATAAAATATGTTTTTATTAACTTTTAGAGAGAAAAGAAGGGAGAGATAGAAACATCAATGTGCAAGAGTCACATCAATCGGCTGCCTCCTGCGCGCCTCCCACTGGGGATGGAGCCCACAACCCAGGCACGTGCTCTGACCGGGAATCGAACCCTGACCTCCCAGTCCATGGGACGACACTCAATCCACTGAGCCACACTGGCCGGGCTCATTTTTATTTTTGATATGCTGAGCTTGAGGTGTCAAAGAAAACAGGTCAAATTAGAAATTTGTGAGTCCTCTACATAAAATGGTAAAGATAAAACAGGTGAGAGTTTTTAAGAAAAAATATGTACACAGAGAAATGCAAAGCTAGTAAGGACTGAACTTTGCATAACACCTTTAAAAAAAGGGCAAGAGGTAGAATTCTAGTTTGTTTTTTTAAAACAGAGAAGAATCTGTCAGGAGGTGAAAGAAAAATTATTAAGGCATAATACTAAGAAGTCAAAGGAAGACTATTTCAAGTGGCAATGTCAAATGCTATGGAATAGAATAGAGACTGATGCCTGAGAAAAGACTGGTGCATTCAGTGATCACAAAGTTATTACTATTAAGAGAAGCTTCCAAAGTATAGTTACTGTAGAGCAATGGGAACGGAAATGATTATTACAAGATTAAGGAGAATAAATGGATAATAACAAAAGAAAAGCAATTGTTGCATTCCTTCATTCTTAAAGTCTGGCAGGAAGAGAAGAGACAGAACAGATGGGCAGAAAAGGTCAACTGAAGGGATTTTTCAAACTAGGAAAAGACCTGTGACTGGTTGACACAAAGGCAAAGCATCAATGGAAAATGAATGAGATAATGTCTTACATTCACCAGCTGCTCAAATCTATGCAACAATATGACTAAATTCAAGAATAAATCAATCTTGGAAAAGCTAGTAAGTGTTTTCTTACCACATAAAAGTTACTATGTCCTAGATATGGAAACTATATTAAACGCGCTATTTCAAGTGTGAAAACTGGAGAATCGTGCTTTAATGAAGCTGCATTTACTTACGAAAGTGCCGCTCTAGCCAAATCATGTGGCATTAGGTCTTTATATCTGGGGAAAGAAAATAAATAATTTAAACCCAAAGCCTAGAGTTTTATAAAAACTATTTTTCATTCTATTTAAAATACCTAGAGATCCTCTAACACATGCTGCTACAAATGCATTAAACTTTACCATCTAAGTCAGCCCATCATTTCAAAAGAAGAAATAGTATAACATTCTAAGAATCTAACAAAAGTGTGCCCAATATCTTATTGTTGAGCATGACATATGTTAAATATTCTTTACTTTATATATATATGTTTTTATTGTTTTTTAGAGAGAAAGGGAGAGGAAGAGACAGATAGAAACATCAATGAGAGAGAACATCCACTGGCTGCCTCCTGCATGCCCCCACTGGGGATTTGGCCCACAACCTGGGCATGTGCCCTGACTGGGAATCGAACTGGTGACCTCTTGGTGCATGGGTCGATGCTCAACCACTGAGCCACACCGGCCAGGCTGTTAAATATTCTTTAAATTTCTTGAGTTCTCCTTTTTAAAAATATTTTATTCTATTTATTTATTTATTTTGTCGTGCCTAAAGGGACATGAAGGGTATATTAGGACATTTTAAGAAAAAATTTTAAGTAATTTGAGATTACAAAAGAAATTGATAGAGCAGAGTTCCTATATACCCTTTACTCCCTTTCCTCTAATGCTAATATCCGATATAACCATGAAGCACTTGTCAAAACTAAGTAATTAAGATTGGCATAATACATTCACTAAGCTACTAACTTTATCTGGATCTCATCAGTTTTTCTACTAACACCCTTTTACTGTTTTGTTCCAGAATCTAATCCATGCATTTTGTTGTCATGCCTCCTTAGTCTCCAATCTGTGACAGTTTCTCAATCTTTCCTTGTCTTTCATGACCCTGACACTTGAACATTATGATTATGATTTGGGAAAAGAATATGACAGAGGTAATGTGCTCTTCCCATTGCTTCACATCAAGGTGTATATGCTATCAATATGACTTATTAATGGGGATGATGACTTGATCACTTGGCTAAATGGTCTTTGCCAGTTTTCTCTATTACGTTTCCCTTTCTTTACTCAATTCTTTAGAAGTGAGTCACTAGTCTGGCCCTCACTTAAGGGGAGAAGAATTAAGCTTCATTTCCTAGTGGAAGAATTAACAAAGAATTTGTGAATATATGTTAAAATCATCACAGTAATTAATAAATTCTTTAGGGAAGAGAGGTAGAGACTATGTTACTATCCTGTTTTTTCTTAACATTTCCCACTCACTAATTTTAGCATTCATTCATAGATCTTGCTTACAACAATTATTACTGTGGTGTTCTAAAGGGGATTTCTTATTCTCATTCCGTGTGTGTGTGTGTTTTATTCTCACCTGAGGATATTTTTCCATTGATTTTTTTTTTTTCCAGATAGAGTGGGAGGGAGAGAGAGAGAAACATTAATGTGAGAGAGACACATAGATTGGTTGCCTCCTGCATGACCCCGACTGAACCACAACCAAGGTTCGGCCCTTGACCAGAATCAAACCCAAGACTCTTTGGTCTGTAGGCCAATGCTCTAATCGGTGAGCCAAATCAGCCAGGATCCTTCTATATTTATTAATTGAAATCCTTCTGTAAGGAAGATTTGTCCTTTCTTCCCATTTATTTACTTGTTCAATCATTTATTTATATCAGATTGGACTCATGGATATTTATTTTATTCTTTGGGTTATGATGCGATACTATCATTATTTTGTTGATCAAGTTGTTTCAGCTTTGGTCATTGGAAGCTTTTTTTCTTTTTTTAAAGCACTTCTTTCCATTCTGGAAAAACAAGATTGTGCTCCAGGCTCATTTTGTATTTTCTCTGGCCCAGACCTAGTCCCTTTTCTAGGGAGCCCTGGCTCCTTTTATTGAAAACCAAGATCTGGGTGTGAACTCTGTTTTTTTGTTTATTTAAACATCAAAAATAAAATCACCTTTAAAAAATTTTTTTTTCTTTATTGATTTTTAGAGAGGAATGGAGAGGGAGAGAGAGACAGAAACATCGATGAGAAAGATCATCAATTGGTCGCCTCCAGCATGACCCTTGACGGGATTTGGCCCACAACCTGGGCTTGTGCCCTGACTGGGAAACGAACCAGCGACCTCTTGGTGCATGGGTCGACGCTCAACCACTGAGCCACACAGGCCGGGCAATCACCTTTATTTTTACTTTATTTTTTTTATCCTCACCCAAGGACATTTTTTCATTTTTTGTTCAGATAGAGTGGGAGGAACAGAGAGAGAAACATCTATGTGAAAGGGACACATCAAGTGGTTGTCACCCGCACGACCCAACCAGGGCCGGGGACAAAATGCAACCAAGGTACGTGCACCAAGGTACGTGCCCTTAGCGGGAACCGAACCCGGGTCTCTCTGGACCACAGGCCGACACTCTAACTGCTGATCCAAACCGGCCAGGGCAATCACCTTTATTTTTAAACGAATAAAGGATTGAATTAGAAGATTCATTCTTTAAGTTCCTGAAAATTAAAACTTAAAAATCTAAAAATGTTACTTTTATTTTCACTGTGTACCATAAAAGAATCATCAATAGTTTTCCAATTGTTTCCAGTTCTCTCAAATTTAGAACAGAATAATTTGAGGAAAAGTTACATCAACTGTTAAACCATAAATTATTTATCATTTTACTATATTCTCATGCTCCTATAGCCCTCTCTTCCAGTATGATCGACAAACTCCCCCTGCTGGAGTTCTTAGGCGTGCCCTCCACCTCATAGAAGAACCTGATCTTACAAATATCACTCAAGTTGAAAGCAAAGTTTCTTCAAACGGAACAAAAAAGATCTTTTTCCACCTAGAAAATGATCTATTATAGAAGACTTTTTGTCACCTCAATTATAACATCAATAATATGACTAAACTATTTGTCTTCGGTATCAATTTTCCCCTCGATATTATTTTTCGTCTCTTCTGTTGTTTACATGAGCATTGCCTTACAAATTTTTATTCTTCTTTCCCTATTAACTATCATTTCTTACATTACACAAAGTTTTTCTATTCTCTCTACCACTAAATTGCTCATGAACTTTCCCTTTTTTCCCAGTCAGGGTCCTGAATTAAACTATAACAATAAACAATTAAAGAAATAAAGCCTAGACCTGGCCAGTATGGCTCACCGGTTAAAGTGTTGGCCCGCAGACCAAAGAGTCTCAGGTTCAATTCCAGGCAAGGGCACGTATCTCGGTTGCGGTTTGTTACCGGTCCTGGTCGGGTTGTGCGGAAGGCAACCAGCCAATGTCTCTCTCTCACATGGATGCTTCTCTCTCTACCTCCCTCCCTCCCACTCTATCTGAAAATTAATGGAAAAACATCCTTGGGTGAGGATAAAAATAAAAATAAATTTAAGAAAAAAGAAACAAAGCCTACAATAATATGCTGAATACTGCAATCAAACTTTATGCAAATACTAATTACCAAAAAATGTTTAAATAAATATTTTAGCTGAGTGTGTTTGTATTTTTTAAGTTAGTAAAACAGTTGGAATAAACATCTACATAGTACATAAACAGCTCTTCCTAGCCAAGAACTTTTTTCTCTTGACAGAACTTTCCTTTTTTTTTTATAAAGTTATTTTTTTAATTGATTTTAGAAGAGGAAAAGAGGGGCGAGAGAGAGAGAGAAATAGAAACATCGATGTGAGAGAGATACATCAACTGGTTGCTTCTCATGTGTGCCCTGACCAAGGATTGAACCCGAAACCTAGTTATATGCCCTGACCAGGAATCAAACCTGCAACTTTCTGGTGCATGGGACGACGCTCCAATCAACTGAGCCACATCAGCCAGGGCTAGAACTTTCTTTTTGCTGCTGAGTACAAGGAGAATCCCATCTCCTCACTATCCTGCTGCTAAAACTTCAGATTCTTACTCTTACTGCTACTGTGTCACTATAGGAGATTCTAGAAACACTATTAAATGGGTTACTATATTGAGAAAAGACAGTGAATGAAACTTCCCCACATTTTCTTGTAGCATTACTTCTATTAAAAAAAGTACTCTTTAGGACCCTGGCCAGGCGGATGCAGCATCATCCTGTACACCAAAAGGTAACAGGTTCAATGGTCAGTCGGTCAGCACATACCTAGGTTGCGGGTTTGATCCCTGGTCAGGGCACATAAAGCAGGCAACCAATGTATCTCTCATATCAATGTTTCTCTCTCTCTCTCTCTCCTCCCTCTTCCTCTCTCTTTATCAAATCAGTAAACATATCCTCAGGTAAGAATAAAAAAAAGTACCCTCTAGATACTAAATCATTGGGTTAAAAATAAATGCTTACTGTTTGTGTATACACAAACACACAAACATACATGGGCGTGTATCTTCCACAAATAGTGGTATTATACTCACTGCTCAGCATCTTGCTTTTTATATTTAATATATGTTAAAGATCTTTCCATATTAGTTCACAAAGGTAGGTCTCATTATTCTTAGCTGATGCCTAACATCCCCCAGCGTGTTTTTAAGTTAGTGACTGTTTATTCAAAATATGAACATCAAAACAATCTAAACATAATAGAACTCAAGTTTCATTTTGTTTAAACCTAGTTACCAAAGTCCACTGTCAGCTTTTGGACAGACTGGGCTTCATTTGGGCACAGAAAAGTCTAAGGAGAACAACAGTTTCGTTCTGGGGAATTTTCGGGCTGGTCTAGAGCCATTCTGGTTCTATGCTAGGGTTTGGACCAACCCATAAACTCCTATTCTGATCATTTACAAGAAGCCAAAGCAGCAGATTAAGGGCCCGTCAGAATGTCTATGGGCCCACATCCTCAGTATTCAAATTTCTGAAGAGGCACAGAAACAATGTACTTATCTCCAGACAGGAAAGGATCTCTCTGCTGGAAACAAGCTATCTGCATCCACGCTAGGTTTTCAAAATAGGACCAGTTTACTCTAACAATACAATAAGCTTATTCATAAGAAAGGATGAAAAACAAATCTGCCATAGTATTTTACCATTGGCTTGAATTATTCTGTATTAATTTCTGAAAAGGTTATCGATAGATTAAGTAGTCCACTAACAACAATATTACCAACTGGATTACATTTACAAAGACCACTTTTAAGGAATAAACTATGTGGGGTGATGGATGTGTTAATTAACTTGATTGTGGTAATCATTTCACAATGTATATTAAATTACCACATAGTATACCTTTTTTAAAAATCACAATCTAGCCCTGGCCGGTTTGGCTCAGCGGTTAGAGCCTCGGCCTGCGGTCCTAAGAGACCCGGGTTCGGTACCCGCTAAGGGCGCGTACCTTGGTTGCAGTTTGTCCCCGGCCCTGGTTGGTTGTGCGGGTGGCAACCACTCGATGTGTTCCTTTCACATCGATGTTCCTCTCTCTCCCTCCCACTCTACCTGAACAAAAAATGGAAAAATGTCCTCGAGTGAGGATAAAAAATAAAAAATAAAAAAAAAATCACAATCTAGCCCTGGCCAGTTTGGCTCAGTGGTTAGGGCATCGGCCTGAGGTCCTGAGAGACCCGGGTTCGGTTCCCACTAAGGGTGCGTACCTCGGTTGCAGTTTGTCCCCGGCCCTGGTTGGTCGTGCGGGTGGCAGCCACTCATGTCCCTTTCACGTCAATATTTCTCTCTCTCTTTCTCTGTTCCTCTCTCTCCCTCCCACTCTACCTGAACAAAAAATGGAAAAATGTCCTTGGGTGAGGATAAAAGAAAAAAAAATCACAAACTAAATTGATACACTTTTTATGTGTCAATAATACCTCAATAAAGCTGGGGGAGGAGGGACACAGTCATTTCATACTTACGAAGTGCCTGACAGCAAAAATGGAATGCGAACACCATCCACTACCACGACATTTCTCACATTGGGTTTTGCCAACGTTTTCTTCGATTTAGTCTGGGCAGCTTTAAAACAAAATTCAAAGAACTATTAGTTAACATCTATGAAGTCTATAAAGATAGATATTCTAAGAAGAATTACATCATTTAATGCCATTCACCAAACCACTTCTATATACATGTGTGGGTGTGTGGGTGTGTGTGTGTAAAGGCTAAGAAACTGACTAACAGTTTTAAGTTTCCAAGTAATTTTTAAGGCAAATATACAGATTATACCTAATGATGAGGGTATTTATGCCATTAATAAACTTGTTTCTTTTTATCAAGTGTTTGACAATCTATCACACTGATGGTAATCAATATGACACATAAGTCTGTCCTTAATATTAGAATTCAAAATACCTGGTGATGTTTCTCTTTACATAGCTTAATATTCTTGCTTTTCTATGTAGAAATAAAAGCCATTTGGTAGATGACTATTATCACTCTGCAAAAACCTAAATGCTTCCTGATTCTGTTTGATTCAATTTGTCTAATTATTTTCTAACATCAAAACAGTAACTTTCCTCTAATTTTTTAATTGAAAAATAAAACATGAATATATGCTGGTGGTAAAAAAAAAAGAAGAAAAGTAAATGATACTTAAATATGGAGAGTAAAAATTCTTTATGCCCTCCTCCACCAAATTATTTCCTTCCCAGAGGTAAATACTGTTAACTTGGTATATATACTTTCAAACATTTTTCCTTTTAATGCACATATATGTACATCCTTGTGTATTATGTATATTTTTCTAACTTAACAATAGCATGAAGAGCTTTCTGTGTTAATCTAAATCTATCTCATTCTGCCTGGCTGGTGTGGCTCAGTGGATGAGTCGACCCATGCACCAAGAGGTTACCGGTTTGATTCCCAGTCAGGGCGCATGCCCAGGTTATGGGCCAAATCTCCAGTCAGGGGGCATGCTAAAGGCAGCCAATTGATGTTCTCTCTCATCGATGTCTCTCTCTCTCCCCCTCTCCGTTCCTCTCACTCTAAAGATCAATAAAGAAAAAAAAATTTTTAATAAAATAAATCTCATTCTTTTGTTGTTGTTATATTTAAATTCACCTGCTAGCATCACTCCTTCATTATCAGAGATAGAGAAAAATATAAATTACTGAGAATAAAATTTTAACAATCACCTTAACACATCCACTAATGTCACAGAAAACTATTTATGATAAATATCCACAACTAAGTTGAGGAAATAGTAGTCAAACCTAAGAGCCGTGATAAAATGGGGTATAAAGATTCTCCCACCAGCCCTGGCCAGTTTGGCTCAGCAGTTAGACCGGTGGACCAAAGAGTTGCAAATTTGATTCTGGTCAAGGGCATACACCTCGGTTGCAGTTCGGTCCCTGGCCCTGGTTAAGGCCATGTGGGAGGCAAACAGTCTCCATCTCTCCCCCCCACCCCCACCTCCCTCCTTCTCTCTCCCCCTCTCTTTCTCTCCTTCATCTGAAGATAAAAATGGGAAAATATCCTCGGGTGAGGTTTTGAAAAAAAAAAGATTCTCCTGACAGTTCTAATGGAGACATGCTGGTAAGGGAGACAAAGGCAACAGGGAGATGAGTGAGGAGACTGTGGGAAACTCAAGTGCAGGGTGCTAAAGGCCAGGATAAAAGCAGTATCAAAGTGAATGAAAAGGAGGGGGTCAATACAAGAGATTTTATAAAGGAAGGTATCTTGATGACCAATCAGATATAGGGAAAAAGGAGAACAGGGTTGTAAAGAAATATTAGAGACTGAGAAAACCTAGCTACTCTACAAAGAGTAAGAACTGGTTTTGGAAGAAAGGTGATTTTATGTTTAAACATGCTACCTTTAAGGTGACGGAGACACATCCCAGTGGTTATGGCCATCTGACAGGTAGATAGAGACACAAAACTAAAGCTCTGAAGAAAAGTGAGGTGTAGATGGGATAGCCATAAGATATTTGCAGTTTAGAATACAGAAGAAAAGCAGAGACTTATTTTGAAGTGTCTGGTCACTCACAGCCCCCTCTATAGGTCACTGCCCTGCTTATAGTCTCTGTCAGGGTCAGCCATACACACCATGTCCCTAAGTCCATAGCCAAAGTTTATTAGATTCAGGATGGGTAATGGACCACCAAAAGTCAATCCACAGAGTAGTCAAGCAGTAACCCAGGTCATCTACCTACAAGAGATAAGCTGTGCCAGTCAGATTCTTTCTCTTAGGAATCTAAATTAAGAAGCATAGAGAGAAATGCCAATTAGTTGAAGCTGAAAGGATGCCATAAGGAAGAAGCAGGGATTTTGCTGCTCCATAACTGTGGCTTAGTTTACCAGTCTGTCCAAAAGCTGATGATGGACTTCAGTAACTGGATTCAAACCAAATGAATCATTAGTTTGATTCCATGTAGATTGTTTTGATGTTCATATTTTGAACAAGCAGTCACTAACTTAAAAACATGCTGGGGAATGTTAGACATCTGCTAAAATAATGAAACATGGTCAGGTTAACAAAACAAGAATTATTGGGGGTTTTTTAGCCATAGAAACTAAATCTCAAGGAAGTAAAGTGACCAGTTCAGGGCCACACTGCCCAGAAAGAGGTAGAACTGAAACAGAATAGAGGTCTTCTGAATTCTGGTAAGGTACTTTTTCCACTAAGTTATCGTCCAATGCCCTGGCCAGTTTGGCTCAGCGGTTAGAGCATCAGCCTGCGGTCCACAGAGACCCAGGTTCGGTTCTTGCTAAGGGCATGTACCTCGGTTGCAGTTTGTCCCCGGCCCTGGTTGGGTCGTATGGGTGGTGGCCACTCGATGTGTCCCTTTCACATCGATGTTTCTCTCTCTTCCTCTCTCTCCTTCCCGCTCTATCTGAATAAAAAATGAAAAAATGTCCTCGGGGGAGGATAAAAAACAAACAAAAAAAACTAAGTTATCATCCAAGTAAAAATACCATAATAAAACCAAAATCAGCCATGGCCAGTTTGGCTCAGCGGTTAGAGCGTCAGCCTGCGGTCCAGAGAGATCCGGGTTCAGTTCCTGCTAAGGGCACATACCTCGGTTGCAGTTTGTCCCTGGCCCTGGTTGGTCATGCAGGTGGCAGCCACTCGATGTGTCCCTTTCACGTCAATGTTTCTCTCTCTCTCTCTCTCTCTTCCTCTCTCTCCCTCCCACTCTATCTGAACAAAAGATGGAAAAATGTCCTTGGGTGAGGATAAAAAAAAAAAAAATCAGAAGTCATAGGTTGATACAGAATCTGGCAAGGAGAATAATGGTATGAATTTGTGAAGATGTTTTCAGCATTGGTCACTGAAGATACATGACTACAGCAGGTTCTGCAAAAACGTGTATGCAACAGTGAAGAAGTCTAATTCATTATGTTTACCAAGGGTGCAAATGACCACGTAAAATCAATAAATTTCCTTACTTTTTCATATTGACCAAACAACCTTCTTTATTAACTAGTTTCCCAGTTACCCCTATTTTAGGAATGGGTCCTCTGGTATATGGGACAAGAGATATCCATCAGTAGAAAAGCCTATCACTAACTGCAGATTTAAAATGTTACCTTTTTCCTCTACAAGAGTCTCAGGAGTGTTAGCTAATTATCTCCGGGACTGACAGCCAGTGGGTGAATAAACTGATCAGCAAGGTTCACAGAACCTCCATGACTCCATCAGGCTCCAAATCCCAGAAAGCAGCCTCCTCTCAACATCCTTGAGTTCAACCCTATACCATGTAATATCATTATTAATAGGCTTTATATTATTTTAACTTAAAGGCATTAGTGATATTCATGTTGCTCATAAAAGGGAGAAATCTAGCAAATTAGTTTTGGTTTTCATTTAGAATTCACAATCTAGAATCTAACATTTAAATCAGAAATGTTTATTTTATAAATTACTGTACCTGGGGCAGCTCGTAGCTGGGAGGAACAGCTCAGAGGTCTTATAGCTGGAAGACAAAATAGTGTTTACAATTTAATGTCTGTGTAAGATACTTATAAATCCAAATCTAATGTTAAAGAAGAAAGAACAAGTTAAACTTACAAAATCTGAGGGCCCAGTTTGATGTACTGGGAAGGTTTTTAAAAGTGTAAGTCAAGATGGAAGTCATTTTGCAATCTGAAAAAAAAAGAACAAAAATATATCCTGGTTATTTGAATAATGTATAGCTTACACTGTAGTCTATGATCTCTGATAACCTCATCCATGGCTACTATAAAATACTGTAAAATTTAATCTGTTACCAACTCTCCTTCCTCTAATAATATTATTATAATTATATTGATACAGCTTTCATAGTGTGCAAATCACTATTCTAAGCCTTAACTCATTTAATCTTCATAAACAGGTGAAGTAGACATGATTATTACCCCTCTGTGAGAGAAAACTGAGGCATACAGGGACTGAGCAACCTGCACAAAGATCCACAGCTAGTAGGAGGTAGAAGCCACCAATGTTAATTTCCTGATTTTGAAGTCTGTATTGTGATTATATAGAATACCTTGTGGAATGTTTGTATTTCAAGGGAATACACACTAACGTATTCATGAGTAGTGACCTACAATATCAACAATTTACTCTCAACTGCTGTAAGAAAAGTTCATGCAACGCACTTGCTACTTTTATATAAGCTTGATATTGTCTCAAAATAAAAAATATAAAATATAAAAAACCTCATGTACTAAAAAAATATTTAAAATATATTGACCACTTCCTAAATTCCTAAAAATGAATTCCTATAATCAGTAAGAAAAAAATGGGCAAAGGATATTAAATAGACTGTTCACAGTAATGGAAATACAAATGGCTCTTAGATGCTTGAAAATATGTCCAATCTCATTCATAAGAGAAATGCAAATTAAAACCACAGAGAGATACCATATTTGACAAACACTGTCAAATGGACGAAGACTCGAATGTTTGCTATACATTGTGTGGTACGAGAATACGCAAACAGGCACTCTCATATACTGTGCAATTTGGCGCAAACTATATGGAGGGCAATTTGGATCTTAACTGTCAAAACTACAATCGTACCTAACTTTTAATCCAGCAATTCTACTTCCATGAATTTACTTTACAGATGTTACTTACACGCATATGACATGACCTATGTCATCAATATTTATAATAGTAAAAGATTAAAACAATCAACTAATAGGCAATTAACTAACTAAACCATGCTGCAATCACCCAATGAAACATTATCCAGCTGTAAAAATAAAATGATTATGTACCAATATGGGAGTCATTTCTAACCTGTATCAAGTGAAAAAACAAGGTGCAAAACTGTGAACAGCTGTTATCATTCATGTTAAAAAGAGGAAAAATAATGTATACATTTCTTTGTATGTGTATAAAATATCCCTGGAAGTAGAAATAAAATGTTACAATAAAGGATGGCTGAAAGGAAGGAAACTGAGTAACTAGGAGAACAGATATGTTTAACCTAAAAATAAATAAATAAATAAATAAATAAATAAGAATAAATAGGCAAGCCCTGGCCGGTTTGGCTCAGAGGTTGGAATGTCGGCCTGCGGTCCGTAGAGACCCAAATTCAGTTCCCGCTAAGGGCACATGTTGCAGTTTGTTCCCGGCCCTGGTTGGGTCGTGCAGGTGGCAACCACTCTCTGTGTCCCTTTCACATCGATGTTTCTCTCTCTTTCTCTCTCTCTCTCTCCCTCTCCCCCCTCCCTCCCTCCCCTCTCTCTATCTGAACAAAAAATGGAAAAATGTCCTCAGGTGAGGATAAAAAAAAAAAAGAATAGGCAAGACTTGCCTCTGAAGGCTGTGGCAGCCAGCCTCTAAGACAGCCCTCAATAAAATAATCTCCACGTTTTAGAGTTCAACCCTTGTCCAGTCACCTCCCACACTGTACCACAGTTGGTCTGTGTAAATGAAAGAATATGTCAGAAGTGATGATATGCCACTTCTGAGATTAGGCTGTAAGAAATACTGCAGCTTCGGTCTTGGTCTCTCTCTTAGATCATTCACTCTGGGGGACTCCAGCTGGCATATCTCCTTGAGCCAGCCCTATGAAGAGGCCTGCGTGGTGAGGAACTGCTGCCTCCTGCCAACAGCCATGTGAGTGAGCTTGGACGCGGATCCGCTAGCACTAAGCTTTCAGATGATGACAGCCCTGGCCAACATTCTGACTACAACCTCATGAGAAACTCTAAGTTAGAACAACACAGTTAAGTACCTCCCTCCCCCAGAAACTGTATAAGATAATAAATTGTTGTTTTAAACTGCTAAATTTTGCGGCAATTTATACACAATACAATAGACAACATAAAAGCCTTGTTTAACTTCTCTTGGGTCTTTATAGACTAAAAAGTGGATGTACTATGGCTTCAAAGAAGGGGGGGACAACCACATTTTTCCAAATATGTGGATTAGAAAGAGAGGAAGAAATTCAAGCTCTAGGCTCACCGGCCTAGGGGTAAGTCAAGAAACTCTGCCAGAGAAACACAAATTGGCCCATGAGATGGGCACCACTGTTTCCAGGAGCTACATATGATGCCACATGAGTCTGGTATACACTTTTCCTTAAGTAAAGTTCATCATGAAATAAAATTCATGAAAATAGTCAAGAAAATGTTGATTAAAAAATGGGGACTTTGCCCTGGCCAGTTTGGCTCAGTGGTTAGAGCGTTGGCCTGTGGTCCAGAGAGACCCGGGTTCGGTTCCCACTAAGGGCACGTACCTCGGTTGCAGTTTGTCCCCGGCCCTGGTCGGGTCATGTGGGTGACAACCACTCAATGTGTCCCTTTCACGTCGATGTTTCTCTCTCTCTCTTCCTCTCTTTCCCTCCCACTCTATCTGAACAAAAAAATGGAAAAATGTTCTCGGGTGAAGATAAAAAAAAAAAAATGGGGACTTTGCTCTAATAGATATCAAAACTCTCTATAAAACACCAGTAAAATTCAGCAGTGCAATTCTGGCACAGAATAAATGAAACTAGTCAACAGAATAGGATGTAGGAAGTTCAGAAGTTTACTCATGTGTATGCGAATTTAGTGTATAACAGGGATAATATTTCAAATAAGTGGGAGAAAGATGAATTATTCAACAGATTTGGAAAAAAATTAGGTCCATAACTCACATCACAAGTACAAATAAATTCCAGATGGATCTATCTATCTATCTATCTATCTATCTATCTATCTATTTTAAACTATAAAAGTACTCGAAGAAGATATCAGAGCATATTCTTTATAATCTTAGATGGAGAAAGGCTCCAAAATATAGCATAAAACCCAGAGGCCATCTCGGAGAAGAATAACTAATGGAACTGATTAGCTACACATTTACAATATCTACACAGCAAAAGATACTAAAAGTTAAAAGGAGAACAACAGATTCAGAGAAAATATTTGTAACATGTAAAACACACACAAAGGGTGGCTGTGGCTGGTTTGGCTCAGTTGTTAGAACATCTGCCTGAAGACCAAAGAGTTTTCGGTTTGATTCCCAGTTAAGGGCATATACCTCACAGTTACAGGTTCAATCCCTGGCCCTGTTTGGGGTAGTGAGGGAGGCAACCAATCAATGTGTCTCTCTCACATCAATGTTTCTTTCTCTCTCTCTTTCTCTCTCTTTCTCTCTCTCCCCCCCTTTCCCTCTCACACTCTATCTAAAATTCAATGGGAAATATCCTCTGGTGAGGATTAAAATACACACACACACACACACACACACACACACACAAAGGGTTAATACCCATATTCCATAAAGAACTTTTACAAATTAAAGGAGAAAGAGAAACACCTGATAATGGAATCTGTGGTTTTCACCCCAGTATCTATTTCACCCCATTATATAGTTGCCACAAGTGGTTTACATGGGATTTAACCCACCCCAACTCCAGGGTTTAAACCAATCAGAATAATTTCATTCTCTTTGTCAAGATCACTGGTTCAGATGTTCAACAACCATGCATGGCCCGGCCAGTGTGGCTCAGTAGCTGAACGTCAACCCATGCATCAAGAGGTCGCCAGTTCAATTTCCAGTCATGGCATATGCCCAGGTTGTGTGCCAAATCCCCAGTAGAGGACATGCAGGAGACGGCCAATCGACGTTCTCTCTCATTGATGTTTCTCTCTCTCTCCCCCTTTCCCTTCCTCTCTCTCTAAAATCAATAAAGAAGAAATATTTTAAAAAACAACAAGGCATTATTTGGGGCTTATCAGATTGGCAAAAACTCTAAATATGGTTAATATACAATTCTAGTAAGGGTATGTCTACTTAGGAACTTCTATATACAGTTGATAGAAGTGAAAATTGCTAAGGCCATTTTGGAAGGAAATTTTTAGTTATCTATCAAAATTTGAATTGTGAATTTCTGAGCCCAATAATTCCTCTTATGGTCTTTAACCTATAAAAATATTCTAGATGTATGTGTAGCATACATGGATCTCTAGCCTATATAAATACTTCAGATGTTCATTGTAGCATTGTTTATATCTGTGGAAAACTGAAACTAATGCAAAAAAATATTTAATGTAAACTGTAATTGAAAAATAAAATTTAGAAAATTATAGTATAAACATAACATGAAATACTGTGCAGTTGGGAAAGAAAAATGAAACATAATTATATACATGTATATACTGACATGGAAAGATACCCACAATATATATTAAATAAAAAAAAACAAGCTGCAAAATAGAATGTATAATAAGACTTGATATGACACAAAGAGAGAGAAAAGAATGTCCATAAAGCTAAGAGTCTATACATGGATGGGATAAACATTTTATATTCTTCTGTCTTTTTACATTTTTTTATAATGAGCACTTAAAATTTTTTTGAATTTTCTTTATTGATTTTAGAGACAGAGGAAAGGAGAGAGAGAGAGAGATAGAAACATGGATGAAAGAGAACATCTTTTGGCCGCATGCCCCCCACGGGGGATCAGACCCACAACCTGGGCATGTGCCATGACTGGACATTGAACTGGCAACCTCTTGGTGCACAGGTCGGTGCTCAACCTTGAGCCACACCGGCCGGGCAATACAGAAAGATTTTAAAAGAAAGAGGGACTAAACAACCTACCCTGGGAGGGTTGACCCTTACTATCATTTGCTTTAATCTTTAGAAAACAGACATTTTGACCAAGGACTTGAGGAGCATGGAAACTCTACAGTAAGGTAGGCTCTACTGAATGTGGAACTATTGAAAGATGCATGAAGTTGATGAGACCTGGGAACAAGGGAAAGAAAGACGAGGCTAGGCAAACACTATGAATTGGCTCCAACAGCTCATGTTTATATCATTAAGACACAATGTCCCTCCCTGGCCGGTTTTGCTCAGCGGTTAGAGCATCAGCCTGCAGTCCTGAGAGACCAGGGTTCAGTTCCCGCTAAGGGCATGTACCTCGGTTGCAGTTTGTCCCCGGCCCTGATTGGGTTGTGCGGGTGGCAGCCACTCAATGCGTCCCTTTCTTTTTTTTTTTTTTTTATCCTCACCCGAGGACACTTTTCCATTTTTTGTTCAGGTAGAGTGGGAGGGAGAGAGAGGAACAGAGAGAGAGAAAGAGAGAAATATCGACGTGAAAGGGACACATCGAGTGGCTGCCACCCGCACAACTGACCAGGGCCGTGGACAAACTGCAACCAAGGAACGCGCCCTTAGCGGGAACCGAACCCGGGTCTCTCAGGACCGCAGGCCGACGCTCAACCACTGAGCCAAACCGGCCAGGGCCGATGCGTCCCTTTCATGTCGATGTTTCTCTCTCTCTTCCTCCTTTTCCCTTCCACTCTGTCTGAACAAAAAAATGGAAAAATGTCCTTGGGTGAGGATTAAATAAATAAATAATTAAATAAATAAAAGACACAATGTCCCTGGCCCATGTGGCTCAATTGGTTGAGTGTCATCCCATGCACCAAAAGGTCGCCAGTTCAATTCTGGGTCAAGGCCCATGCTGGCCTTGGGCCTAGTGCATGGTCTTACTGCATCCCCAGCAGAGGGTATGCAAGAGGCATCCGATAGATGTTTCTCTCTTACATCAATGTTTCTCTCTTCTTCTCCCTTCTTCTCTCTCTACAATCAATAAAACATTAAAAAATAAATAAAAGACACAATGTGCTCTGGCAGGTTTGGCTCAGTCAGCCCACAGACCAATGAGTCTCGAGTTTGATTCCGGTCAAGGGCACATAAATCAGTTGTGGTTCACCCCCAGCCCCGGTTGTGGTCATCCGAGAAACAGCCGATAGGTGTGTTTCTCTCTCTCCCTCTTTCTCTCCCTCCTTCTCACTCAATCTAAAGATAAATGGAAAAATATCCTCAGGTGAGGATTTTTTAAAAATAAAAAAGACACAATGTAATGAATGCTTAAGAGCATAGGCTCTGAGCCAGACTCTAAATCCAAACCCTGGCTCCAGCCTAGTTGTATGACCTTAAGCAGGTTACTTTCCTCTGTTTCAGAATTAAAATATAGACAATTCATCTGTAAAATGAATCTGTAAGATGTAGATAACTCCAAAAAAAATAACTCCAAAAAAAAAAAAAAGTAGATAACTCAGTACTTACATCATAGGGTTGTGAGGAATAACTAAATGAACATATATAAAACACTTAAAATAGTACCTGATACATAGTAAGGGGCATACATATGTTTGTTAATAATATCAGTGGGTGGTGTAGTTTCCCTCTGAGTATACCATAGTGAGAAACATAACATTTCTGCCTTACTACTTTGTTGCAAACACAGGGGGGGGAAGTCAGGAGCTAAACTACAACCCATGGAACTCTAGCTAATATTAGTTGTTACATTTTTAGAGTTGTAGAGCAAAACAAAACATATATAACAAGAGATCAATGTGGGTTTGCAAAGCCTAAAATATTTACCATCTGGCCCTTTACAGAAAAAGCTTAACACCCCTGATCTAAATAGTAAATTCTACAAAAATCTTATGAGTTGGAGGGCCTTTGGAGGTCATCAAGAATCCATCTGGAATTAAATGATCACTGGTCATCCAGTTTCTGCTGCAAGTGCTCAGAGTTATGGAAGGCTCACTATTTCACCTGAACTTTAAACAGAAACCTCTCTCTCTTCCTTCCCACATCATTTCAGTGTCAACTTCCCTGCCGTTTTCCTCTGCCCCTTTTTGCTTCCTCCTTTGTGGAACTCTCAATGTGGTGAGCTGTGAAGACTCAGATTTATGTCCGAATCCAGGCTCTGACACCTACCAGGAAATTTACATAAACGCTCTGAGCCTCCTACATTTCATCTAGAAAATGCAAATAACAATGATTTGGGGATTGTTAGGCTTAAATGAGATGCCATGAAAGTGCCTAGAAGGCCCTCAATGTTACTTGCTTTGAGAATTAATTGGCTAATTTGAGGACTCAAGGCCATCTTCCCAGAACACAAAACAGCTACTATGCAATGAAGAGCTCTTTACTCGAAGTTAGTAGACACTGGCTCTAGTCCTCTTTCTACCACTAGCGACCGTAAGTAAAATCACTCACTGCGATTCATGAGCTTCGGTTTCCTCACCGATAAAGTGAAGGGGATGAATGACCAGATAAATAGCCAGGTCCCTTCTGGGTTAGAAAATCCTCTGAAGCACTGGATCTCCGAACAGGATGGAGGAACGTCTTCTTCCACACTTGAGTCCCAAAAGGTCTAAGGACCGAATCCCACCCTTGGTAGCAGGAATCCGGGTAAACCCGTGGGCCCGTTCTGAATTTCTGAAGCCGCCCACCTGGCTACGGGCACACCAAGTGAAACAACAAGCCTGCAACACAGCCCGGCCGGCCGACACACACACATACACACACACACCCCGAACAGTTCGTTCCTACGCGGTGATAAAAGACACAGGTGACACCGCTGCTGGGAGATACAAACAGCAGTACAAGTTACTGCACTAATTGCTTTGGCACTTGAGCCCTCGTCCAAAGGGCTTCCTTCGGCTAGCTGAACTCCACTCCCACAGAGAGGGGAGGCAGCTGCAGGTACTGGCACAGCAGGTGGGAAAGTGTGAATCTCGGAGAGCCGAAAAGGCCAGGCGAAAAGCCGAAAGCACCCTCTGTCTCACCTGCGTTCGCATCCGCCAAGATCCCCGCTGTTGGCAAGGTTCGGGCCCAAATGACAGAGCTCGAAGGGACAGAGGGGCGGGTCCTGCCTGGAAAGGACCCCTCACGTCCGCCGACAGTTTCGCGGGCTTAGCTGGTCTCGCGACTGCCCGCCAGCCGCCTGACTAGAAAACCCGGCACTGTGACCTATCCTTCATGGGCCTCCTTCCTTCCAGCAGAGAAAGAGTCCTTTTCGCCCCATTAGCCGGGAGCGAAGGGCAGGGTTAAGAGGTGGGCGGCAACTTAGCCTCGGGGTTTTAGTCAGGCAATACGTCGGGCGCCTCCTCGAGGCTGGGCGGCGGGGAGAAAAGTCTTGTCTGGCCTCCTGCACTTGAAGCTCTTTCCACTTCGTCCTCTTCTGCTCAAGATGGTGGCCTCCCGGGCAATTGGCAGCCTCAGACGCTTCACGACTGCCTCCAGGACGCTCCGCTGCCCAGGTGAGGCCTGGCTGAGGGTGCCCTGGAGCCCCCGCCATAATGCTTCGGACCCACGTCCTCCACTCGCTGCCCCTTCCCTGTACCCGCCCGGGCCCCAGCTCTGGATTGGGGGCGGGGGGGAGGGGTGTGGGTGATGCTGCCCGGCGACCCGGTCTCTTGTGTCCTTGGAAAAGGACTGTCACTTCCTCTTTCACGACTCCGAGTCCTGCATCGATTTCAGGCTTCGTAACCTCTAACGTTTCTGAGTCCTGTCCACCGGTCTGGCACTTTCTGCAGGTCTCCCCGTCGCACCTTTGGGCTCTCGCACCTCTTATTTTCTTTAACGACGGTCTTGAACCTGTCGCTACTAGATCGGGAGTCCCAGGACTGGGACACTCCAGGCTGTCACATCTTTATGTCTCCACGGCAACTTGCCCGTACCAAGAGCTATCTTAAAAGCTTGGATGGAATTAACCAGCCTTGCAAATGATTGCCAGTGCCTGCTCCTTTCCCTCAAAACCTTTTAAATCCCGTTTTAACAGGGAGCTCAGCTGTTGCAGTTCCAACGATCCCAGTGTGTTGAATTTCAAGGGGAGCTTCTGCAACTCTGCTAGAAAAATTTTTTAAAAATACGCCAACACGTGTATTTCATGGAATAAAACGTTAGATAATTTTAAGAACTATTTCTAATCTTGTTTCTGATGATACCCAGTTAGCTTTCATTAGCTACATTATCTTTTTCTCTTCAGACTGGCAGTGAAAGGGTGAAAGTGGGTGATTGTAGAAATTCAAGCATTTTCCTTTCATTTCAAATCTGTAAGGTGAAATGTGACTTTTTAAAAATTTTATGTTCTATTCAATAGCGATTACTTAATTAGAAATTTAATTTGTAACTTGCCTTCCTCCTCCCACATCACACGGGTAGTATGCTGATTTTAGACAGTTAGCTAGAGTCTGCCATTAAGGGATTAATTTTGAATGATTGAATCTTTTTCTGTTTTCTTATTTTAACCACTGTTTTTAGTCTTCACAGGACTGGTTGTGTGTGTCTGTGTGTGTGTTTGTGTGCACACATGCTACTCATCATACAACAAAATTGAAATGTAGAGATTGGGAAAAGGAATTAAGGAAAAAGAATCACCTATTCTCTGACTATTCACATCGCTACTGTTAGTATTTGGTCATGTTACCTGACAGTTTTGTTTCCCTTTTTCCACATTTATGGTTTAACACTTTAGAAAAATTAAACGTATATTTTTGAACTTGCACTTGTATTGGTTTGAAGGTACTTATGAATTAGCAGCACATGTAACACTGAGCTGATAATCAGATCATGTGGTTTCTAGTCACTAACTGTGTGACTGGATAAATACATTAATCTAACTGGGTTTTTATTTTCTTCAACTGTAAAATGAATGACTGAGACTGTGCATTTACTTTGAAGTGAGAAAGAGCAAAACAGAGGAGTCTGGATTTCAGTCTGGCTTTGCCTTTTACACGCTGATGACCTTGGGCAATCAATTTCTGTCCGTGTTCTCATTTGTGAAATGGAGAATAATCTGTTTGTGAGCTTTAAAGGAGTTATTCTAGATGTAAAACAGTTTTTTATGGAACAAGTGCTCAGTAAATGTTAGCTATTACTAACTCCTGCCCTAAGAAACTGTAATTCTATGTATCTGAGAATGTTTTAGAGTAACTTTTACATTTTACATGTGTAATTAAAAGTTACAAGCTTAGCCCTGGCTGGTTTGGCTCAGCCGTTAGAGCAGAGCATCGGCCTGCAGTCCAGAGAAATCTGGGTTCGGTTTCTGCTAATAGCACGTATCTCGGTTGCAGTTTGTCCCTTGCCCTGGTTGGGTCATGCTGGAGGCAGCCACTCAATGTGTACCTTTCACGTTGGTGTTTCTCTCTCTCTCTTCCTCTCTCTCCCTCCCACTCTATCTGAACAAAAAATGGAAAAATGTCCTCAAGTGAGGATAAAAAAAAAAGAAAGAAAATCACATCTTCACCAAAGTATCTTGTTTAATTTCCACACCTACCCTACATCTAAATGCCTAATTATGGAAGTGGTAAAATAATTTCACAGGACATGGATTAGAGGCAAATACTCTAGAAGATGGTGTATAGTTAAATTTGACTCTCACTTTCTTAATTCTTTCCCTTTTTTCATCTTATCCCTTTGAATATTGAGAAAAACTGTTGATTGTTACAACCAATGTAACATTTTCATATTTGAAATTTGTGTCAGCATAATCTAACTTTCTCCACTGCTGTAGTCTTAGGTCATGTAGGTATCTTCTTGAGCTATATTATTAAAATGCTTAAAAAATGGAACAGCCCTGGCCAATTTGGCTCGGCGGTTGAGTGGGTTGAGCGTGGGCCTGGGGACCAGAGAGTTCAGGTTCGGTTCCCCCTAGGGGCACTTACCACCAAAAAAAAAAAAAAAAAAAAAAGTGGGACAAAGGTTTCTCTCTCTTTTGCTGGCATGCAAGATATAGGCTAAAGGTCACCCAGCTGCTCTCAAGCTCTCACATCAGCTCTGCTGTTTGGATAGTAGATAAGGCTAGATTCCAAAAGCAAATCTGATTTAGTTGACTGGTTTGGAATTCTTTTCCATACATTTTTACATGTACTGATTTTTCTCTTTGTTTTTTGTCTTAGATGATTTAGAGGAGTTTTTGTTTTTTAATATGTTTTTATTGACCTTTTTAGAGAAAAGGAAGGGAGAGAGAGAGAGAAACATCGATGTGAGAGAAAACTATCAATCAGCTGCCTCCTGCACGCCCCCTGTCTGGGATTCGAACCAGGAACTCTCAGTCCATGGAATGACGCTCAATTCACTGACCCACACCAGCCAGGCTAGAGGAGGGTTTTTTTTGTTTGTTTGTTTTGTTTTTTTTATCCTCACCCGAGGATATTTTTCCATTTTTTTGTACAGATAGAGTGGGAGGGAGAGAGAGGAAGGGAGAGAGAGAGAGAAACATCGACGTGAAGGGACACATCGAGTGGCTGCCACCCGCACGACCAACCAGGGCCGGGGACAAACTGCAAATGAAGTACGTGCCCTTAGTGGGAACCGAACCCGGGTCTCTCCGGACCGCAGGCCGACGCTCTAACCGCTGAGCCAAACTGGCCAGGGCTAGAGGAAGTTTTGTGTGTGTGCTTACAGGAGTGCATGTAGCAAAGGTAGGTTAGTAGATAAAAGTTTAAAATGGTTGAATCTATAAGCTAATGAGCACCAACCTGTTTTCACAAATATTTGGTCTTTAAAATTGCAGCCCGTGCCCAAGTTCCCTCACCTGCTCTATTTTGTTTTCTGTTTAGGAATTTATCTTTTAACCTACTTATTTACATATTTGTTTCTTTCCTTTTTTTTTTTTTTTTTGGTCTGTCTGTCTTTCCACCCCATCCCTCCCACTCTTCATTCCCAATCAGCCCATTCCCCACTCTAATCCACTTTACCCAGTTCTAAGTGGAATTACCTATTCCTTGGCTCCCCTCCCACTGGAATTTCTACTTTATAGGCAAACTCATTTTTATGCCAGGCTTATTTTCACCTCAAATCTATCTCTACTGAGTAGGAACAATTCCTTCCCAGATACCTTTTCACCTGCTGCCATGGAATGTAAGCTCCACAAAGACAGATGTTTTTCTCTTTGTTTACTCCAAGTGCCTAGCTTGTGTGGCACTTGGCAGACCACAATAAATTTTTTTTTTTATCCTCACCCGAGGACATTTTTCCATTTTTTGTTCAGACAGAGTGGGAGGGAGAGAAAGGAAGAGAGAGAGAAACATCAACATGAAAGGGACACGAGTGGCTGCCTCCCGCACGACCCAACCAGGGCCGGGGACAAGCTGCAACTGAGGTACATGCCCTTAGCGGGAACCGAACCCAGGTCTCTCTGGATCGCAGGCCAACGCTCTAACCACTGAGCAAAATCATCCAGGGCCACAATAAAGTTTTTGTTGTTGAATGAAGAATGATTGTGAGGTGATTTTGGAAGGCATTACAGTTTAGCTGGGGAAACACCTGCTACAGATGCAGTGATTAGAGAACAAAACAATAGATAATAAAGATAAAAATGTTAGCCCTGGTCAGTTTGACTCAGCAGTTAGAGCATTGGCCGGCAGACCAGAGTCTCGGGTTTGATTCCAGTCAAGGGCACGTACCTCATTTGCAGTTCATTTCCCAGCCCTGGTCAGGTCGTGCAGGAGGCAACCAATGGATGTGTCTCTCTCACATAGGTTGTCTCTCTCTCTCTCTCTCTCTCTCTCTCACTCTATTTGAAGATAAATAGAAAAATATAGGATGAGGATTTTTTTTTTTAAAGATAAAAATTTTAGCAGAGAGGGGTTCCCATGTGTCCATATGTTTGCTGTCTACTTCAGTTACCTTTTAAAAAAAAAAATACAGATGCTGAGGCTCAGTCCCCTTAAATTCTAATTTTGTGATTCTAGGTTGTCTGTCACCCAGGAATTTGTGAGTATATTTGAGCCTCCCAGGCTGATTCTAATACCCAATATAGCTCTGGAATTACTTTTCAATACTGCCAAGGGAATCAGTCCAGCTGGATATGTTGAATAATCTTAACATGTAACAGTTTGCTTATGTGTCATAAATCTCCACTCCAAAAGGGTCCCTGCCTCCTGGCCAAATATAGACCATTCTAACTTGGAAACTGGGTATGGTGCTAAAGGTTGTTTCTAAATCATGTAGAAAGTACTTTATTTTTAGACCCAAAGAAAGAGAAGACTTTTTTCTAAGATTATTGGACAGGATTTGGAAGATGTGGGTATGAAGGAGTAAGGAGTAAGAGGTTGAGGTGGACCATAAGTATGAAAGACAAGGGAAGAAGGAGCAGGGTGTTTTTTAAAAGGATTGGAAGTTGTAATTAAGGGATGTTGACCCTGTGCTAGCCTTCAGAACAGCTTGGTTACCACCTACGAGAGCAAGGTGTTTGGATGAGAGCAGGGCAGAAGTGAGCCTTTAATGCAGTGGTTCTCAACCTGTGAGTTGCGACTTTGGGTTGAACGACCCTTTCACAGGGGTCGCCTAAGACCATCGGAAAACACATATTTCCAGTGGTCTTAGGAACCGAGACACAGCTCCTCTATGCGTCTCCAGGTGGGTACACCCACATACAACATGAGGAGCTGTATTAAAGGGATGCGGCATTAGGAAGGTTGAGAACCACTGCTTTAATGCTAGAAAGGAGGTAGGGTAATGCCCAGAATAAGCTTGGAATTTTTGCCTAGAATTCTCCAGTATTCCTTACTTCTATCCAGAGTCCTGGTTGAAAGACCCTCTGTTGGGACTTCTTGTGTGATGGCTTTTGCTCAAAAGATCATCTCATCATCATTATGCTGGAGAGCCTCAACAGTAAAGTGGTTGGGAAGGAGAAGGGAGAGTAGCTGGTCTTTATTATCCCCAGAGTAGGAGTATTCTTGGTGGAGTACACGATAGACTTTTTCCATCAGAAACGCTTAAAATAACGTGTGATGTGAACTCTTTTATTTATAATAGTTTCTAGTGTCCCTTGACTTTACTTTTTTCCCCTCACTACCTAGATTTTATTACTGTTTTATTTTATTTATTTTATCATATATTTACCTATCCCTCTGTCCATCAAAGTAAATCCAAGTCACCAGTGGTCTTCCCTCTAAATACTTCACAAGTATATTCCTTTTTTTTTAAAAAAAAAAAACAATATTGGAAACTCCATCTTATCATAAAAACATAAGAGGATGTGGCTGAGGAACATGGTTGAGATATATTTGGAATTGACATTACGGATTGCTTTGTAGATAACTTATCTCTTAGTGTATATATTTCCTACTGGTGCCATAACAAACTTCCACAAACTTAGTGTCTAAAACAATACAGACACTCATTTATTCTCTTACAGTTATGGATGTCAGAAATGAGTCTCACTGGGCTGAAATCAAAAGTGTTGGCAAGGCTGTGTTCATTCTGGATGCTGTAAGGGAGAATCTGTTTCTTTGCCTTTCCTAGAAGCTGCCTACATTCTCAACTTCTTCAAAGCCAGCAAAATGGGACCAAGTTCTTTTCATGCTGCCATGTCTCTGGTTCTCTTTGCCTCTCTTTTGTGATTACATTGGATAACCCAGAATAGTCATCCTATGTTAAGGTCAGCTAATTAGCAACCTTAATTCCCTTTTGCCATGTAACCTAACATAGTCACAGTTTCTAGGGATGTGAACATCTTTGAGGAGCCATTCTTCCACCTACCACATTTAGTATCCAGATTATATGACCTCATAATTGAAACTGAAAAAAAGATACGGTAGTGGTCACAATAATGGCTTAGAACACATTGTTCTAATTTTGCTTTTTTGTTGTTATAAATTCCAGCTTTGTTATAGGTAACAGGTACTACAGAAATACTGTTTTGTAAAATAATTAATTTTTAAATCCCTTTTTTCTTGTAGGTTATATTTGCCGCAACTTTACAGGGTCCACTGCTTTGCGATGTAAGTTTAATTCCTTGTTAACATGTTTACATTGCTTTTTAGATTTATTTAGCAATAAAAATGTTTACAAATAAATTTTCCTTCTCTTTTTAGCCAGAACCCATATTAACTATGGAATCAAAGGGGATGTGGCAGTTATTCGAATTAACTCACCCAATTCAAAGGTACCTACTTTAACTTGCTGCAGTTTATTTTTACTAACTACATTCATGAATCCTGTCCTGAATGGGAAAGAAATAAGTCCACCAGTCTGGCAGTAATCTTATCATATGAATTTACCGTTTTGATAGTTAAGTTAGTTAGTTTGACAAGTTGCCCAAGGAATGGAGATTTCTGAAACAGAGATCCTTCTTTAAGAATTCTTGCTAACCCTGGCTGGTTTGGCTCAGCAGTTAGAGCATCGGTCCACAGACTAGAAAGGCCCGGATTTGGTTCCTGCTAAGGGCACGTACCTCGGTTGCAGTTTGTCCCTGGCCCCGGTTGGGGTCATATGGATGGCAGCCAGTCGGTGTGTCTCTCTCACATGGATGTTTTTCTCTCTCTCTTTCTCTCTCTTCCTTCCTCTCTCCCTCCCACTCTATCTAAAAATAAATGCCAAAAAAAAGTCCTCCAGCCAGGATTTAAAAAAAAAAGAATTCCTTCTAGTCGACCTTAGGTGTCAGGGATGAATAAAACTAGCCTTCTGTCACAGTGTAGAATGATAACTTACTAGATAAGAACTTAAGTATAAGCTTTGTTTATAAGAATCAAATTACCCATTTTAACTATGAGGTTATTAGATCTGGTTTCTTCATTACCTGCCTGACATTAGTTATTATCCATAAGTTATCTGGGTTAAATGTGGTTGTTAAGCTTCCTGAGGGACATGAATGACTTGATGGTTTTCACATATTGGAGGTCAAGTTCTGTACAAAGTGGAGCTTTGTTTTTGGCAACTTAAACAAAGCAGGTAGCATTCATTAATCCCGTCTTTTGCCAAGAAGAGCTTTATTGCAGGAGCTCATCATGCCTTTCCCATCATCTAAAATTGTTGTGAAGGTTTTATATTTCAGAAATCTTGTTACCAGAGGCCTAAATGAAATAGGAGGACCTAGATGGAAGCAATTAACAACTATCACAAATTAAGAAAAACAAGAAATAGTTCCCCTCTCTAGAATAAATCTTGGCACCCACTGACCAATGATTCAAACTTAAGCTATTTTTTCAGAATTTTCTAAGTTGAACATTTTTCCTGAACACAAAAAATAACATATGGTTGCCCTGACTGGTTTTCTCAGTGGTTAGAGCATCAGCTGGCAGACCAAAGGGTCAATTCCCAGTCAAGGGCACATACCTGGGTTGCAGGTTCTATCCCTGGGCCCCATTGGGATCATGCGGGAGACAACCAATCAGTGTGTCTCTCTCGCATCGATGTTTCTCTCTCTCTTTCTCTCTCGCTCTCACTCTCCCTATTTTCCACTCAATCTAAAAAGAAAAAAATATCCTTAGGTGAGGGTTAAAAAAATAAATAAATAACACTTGACTATGGTAGGAAATTTTAAAACCATAAAGAAAAAGTAATCAGGCGGGTGCCGGGCGAGCAGGTCAGCTGTGGAGGGCGTAGGAGCGTTCTCCACCAGGAGCTGCCCTGGCTCTGGCGCCCAGGCAAGGCAGCCTTGGGGTGGGGAGCCTCCCCTGGTGAATTCCACTTCAGCCCCCTTGGTGTGATGGCGAGTCGGGTTGCCCTGCTGTGCTCCATCACCTCCTAAAGATGCGTCCTGACTTATCTGCACACTTGCACACTGAAGAATGCAACGTCTTGATTAACTTACTTAAGGAATGTCACAAAAACCACAGCATTCTGAAATTTTTTGGTCATTGCAATGATCTTGATCGGGAGATGAGAAAATGCTTGAAGAATGAGTACATGGAAAAGAGGACTGAGAGCAGGGAGCACGGCAATGAGACTCCATAATCCTCCAGAGGAATCTGAATCATAAATTATATTTTCACTGGATGCCTTGGCTGAGAGAAGACCTGAAGGCTCTTGTTTGATAACTGAAAGAATCCTCTCTCCTTTGGTCTCCAGAACTTATGAATAGCAAGTGACCCATGAGAAATCGAACCATGGAGAAATACGGAAACCCTGGATTCAGAATATTTGTTAGGCAGAACCTTTAGTACTCTGATTCCTTCACCAACATACCTGACTTTTTTTTTTTTTTTTATCCTCACCCGAGGATATTCCTCCATTTTTTTGTACAGATAGAGTGGGAGGGAGAGAAAGGAAGGGAGAGAGAGAGAGAAACATCGACGTGAAGGGACACATCGAGTGGCTGCCACCCGCACGACCAACCAGGGCCGGGGACAAACTGCAACCGAGGTACGTGCCCTTAGCGGGAACCGAACCCGGGTCTCTCCGGACCGCAGGCCGACGCTCTAACCGCTGAGCCAAACTGGCCAGGGCCATACCTGACTTTTAATATGTTTCCTTCCTTTGCCTACAACCAGTTAACATTCTAGTAACCTGTCTCCCTCAATAAAAAAATTGACTTTAAAAAAGAAAAAATAATTATTTATATTCCAAACCCAAAAATAACTACTTTTAACATTTTATCCAGTTTTAATAGTATTTTTGAAATTAAGATCATATTATATATCTGATTTTGATTTCTTTTTTTCCTTAATATTATATAGATTTTTTCATGCCAGTAAATGTTTGTAGACTTACTTATAACCTGCAGATGATTCAAATTCTTAGGAAAATGACCCTGAGTTCCTCCTTTGAGTAGACCTATTTTTATTTATTTTTTAATTTTTTAAATTTTTTTTTTTTTTTTCAGTAGACCTATTTTTAAAGGGCAGGGTGCTTATATAGTTGACTGACTAGAAAGCTACTGGGTATTTGACTTTTTTCCCCCTGCCTCTCTCTTGCTTCTAACAATATATTTCTGATGGATAAACATATTTCCCACCATCAAAATAGCATCTGATGGTGGCTTGCACATCTGTCTCTTCATATTTAAACTCTTAGATTTATATGTATTTCTCTTTGACAGGTAAATACACTGAATAAAGAACTACAATCAGAGTTCATAGAAGTAATGAATGAAGTCTGGGCTAGTGATCAAGTCAGAAGTGCTGTCCTTATCTCATCAAAGCCAGGCTGCTTTATTGCAGGTGCTGATATCAAGTAAGTTTTAATAAAGTTGATTTAAAAAGCGGGGCTTGTTGCTTAAGCCATGTAAGACTAAATATAGCCTTTCCTTAAGTTGAATGCAGTTCAAGTTCCTATTTCAGTAGAATAAAAAATACTATAAAATTAAACTAACAATGAGATGCCATTTAAAAGTTTAAAAATTATCATGGGGAAATGAAAAAGTTGATATATTACCAAGAGGAATGCCAATTGGTACAGACACTTTGAAGAGCAATTTGGCAACATTTAGCAAAACTGAAAATGCATGTATCATAAAATCTAGTGATGCCTCTTGTAAGAATATATAAGCTAGAGAAATCCAGCTGTTTGTGTTTAAAGGGTGTAGGCCAAAATAGAATTTGAAACAAGCTAAATGTCAGTCATTTGGGAAATGGATAAGTAAAATGTGGAATATTCACACGATAAAATACTACAAAACAATGCAAAGGAATTAACTAGATTCACAACATAATATTAGAGTTCAAAAACATGATTTTAAGTTTTTAAAAAAGGCAAGTTATAAAATGTTTCATACAGTATATAGTTTATATAAACATTTTTAAATCATGCATGCAATACTTCTTTATATTATTTGTGGACACAAATAGGTAGTTGCTCTGGAAGGATACACTGCAAGCATGAAAATGATTGTTTTAGGGTAAATGAAGTGACTGCTAGGACTTGAAGAGATTGTCAAAGGGAACTTGACTGATGCAGCTACTATTGTCTTTCTTTTTTTATGTGGTAGGCTGTATGCCTCTAAAAGTCGTTTATAATTCTTCAAAGAATATATAAGGAAAAGGAATATCTTAGTATTAGTTTAATGGGTTAAAATTTTAACAGCCAGTTCTGTCAAAATATGGGTATTTGTTATTCTTTGTACTGTGGGCAATGATAGCCAATGTCATAGGCTTAATGATTTGTACTTAAGGTGTTTGTATATTTTAAACCTTGCTCTACATGTGTATTCTTTTTTTGTTTATGTAATTAAAAATTTATAAATATTCTGTTTCATGTTTAATTTTTAGAAACACAAAAGTATCTGTATCAAGTGCTTTGTTTTCTAGCTAAGTTACTGAGCCAAGTGAGACACTAATATACCTGGCAGTAGCTATCTATGTTCATAAGAAAATACTTTTAGCTTCTGTAAGGCTAGTTAAGCAATTCCCAGCATATAACAGGACAGAAAACTAGTCGTCTTTGGTCAAAAGTATAAAATTCCTAGCTTAAGTGTGTTCAGAAACAAAGTAAGTAGGAAATGAAACAAACTGAAATTAAAGGGTATTGATTACATTATTGTAGCAGATCTTTTTTAAGGTGTTTTTTTTTTTTCAATCCTCACACGAGGATATTTTCCCATTTATCTTCAGATAGAGTGGGCAGGAAGGAGAGAGAAACATCGATGTGTGAGAAACACATAGACTGGTTGCCTCCCACACAACTCCAACTGGGGCCAGGGCCGGGGCCGGGGCCCGGGCCCAAACCGCAACTGAGGTACATTCCCTTGCCTGGAATTGAACCTGTAGTTCTTTTTTCCACAGGCCGCTGCTCAAACCGCTGAGCCAAACAGACCAGGGCAAGATTTTTTTTTAATCCTTACCCAATGATATTTTTCCATTTATCTTCAGACAGAGTGGGAGGGAAAGGGAGAGACAGAGAAACATCGATGTTAGAGAGACACATCAGTTGGTTGCCTCCTGTATAACCCTGACCAGGTCCGGAGACCAAACTGCAACCGAGGTACGTGCCCTTGACTGGAATTGAACCCAGGACTCTTCAGTCTGCAGACTGACGCTCTTAACCACTGAGCCAAACCCGCTAGGGCATGTTTTTAAAGATTTTTTTATTGATTTTTAGAGAGGAAGGGAGTGGGAGAGAGAAAAACATCAATGTGGGGGCAAAACATTAATTGACTGTCTCCTGCACACCCCCTACCAGGGATAGAGCCTGCAACCCATGCATGTGCCCTGACCAGGAAGAACCAGCAACTTTGTGGTGTACAGGACATTGCCCAACCAACTGAGCCACACCAGCCACGGCTAGCAGATGTTTTTTAATCATTATGGGAATCTATTTAAGATTTTCAGTCCCTCTAAACAACTTGAAAGCTTTTTTTTTCTGTGATCTTGATTGTTGTTTCACCTGAAAGCTACTCGATAGTGGAAATATTTACCAGAAGATGATTTTCTCACGTTCAGAGTTTTATAATCTAATCATGTGTTATAGAAACGAAAATAAATCATGCAACAAGCTTTGTTTCATGTACTTTGGATCCAGAAACTTAACACTATAGAGAGATGATGTCACTGATATTAGTGCTGTCTGAGGCAGAACCATTCTTAAACTTATGAGTATTTGAAGATTCACCACCACATATTGATATATGACAGGGTTGAGGATATAGGAAATGAGGTATCTAACAAAGTAGGTTATAGTTTCATCTTTGATCTTTTTTTTCTTTTTTTCTTTTTTTCTGTTCTCTGCTTTCATGTTTACTGCAGCATGTTAGCTGCTTGCAAGACCCCTCAAGAAGTAACACAGGTATCACAGGAAGGACAGAAAATGTTTGAGAAACTTGAGAAGTCTCCAAAGCCTATTGTGGCTGCCATCAGTGGAGCCTGTTTAGGAGGAGGACTTGAGGTATGGATTTATTACAAAGTCACTGTTTAGCTCATTGTTAGGATTCATCAACTATAAACCTTTAGGCTACTGTTTTGCTTGAGACGTTCTCAGAGAATCAGCTTTTTTTTTTTTAGTTATCAAACTTCTGGGTCTGTTTTACTCCTTATTCTCATGGTGCAGAGCATGTGAACCAAAGAGTGATGTTTCCTTGTATAAATTGAGAATATTTCAACTGGATCTCTTAGGTCCCTTTCAATTCTGAAAGCCTGGTTCAAGTTTGCAGGGCAAAGATTCAGAAGTGTTATTCATGCTCTTGAGCTACTTGAGCATGATGCAGGGTTACGTGCTTTGTGAGTAGTAAAGATGGTAACTAATAAAAGAATTGAGAGAAGAGGTATTTTTTTAACCCTCACCTGAGGATATGTTTGTTTGTTTCCTTTATTTATTTTAGAGAGGAAGTGAGAGGGAGAGAGAGATAGAAACATCAGTGAGAGAAAACATCTATTGGCCACCTCCTGCATGCCCACCACTGGGGATCAGGCCCACACCCTGGGCATGTGTCCTGACCAGGAATTGAACCGGCGACTTCTTAGTGCATGGGTTAATGCTCAACCACTGAGCCACACTGGCCAGACCGAGGATATGTTTTATTAAATTTTTTTAACCTAGGTATATGCCCTGACTGGGAATCGAACCTTCAATCTTTCTGGTGCACGGGATGATACTCCAGCCAACTGAGCCTCCCAGCCGGGGCGAGAAGAGATGCTTATTAGACCAGAGCATGTGGGAAAAAAGAGAGGGAAAAGAAAATAACATTTATCACATGCTGGGCTCTATGCTAGACATTGTCACAGTAATTAATTAAGGAAACCTGTGCCTGGTCCTAAAAGAGAGACAGGATTTAATTAGCCAGAGTACTGGGGTAAAGGCATTCCACATATGGTGAGGTATGAGCAAAGATAAGGGTAAATAAAGCCTGTTAGGACATCATAAGTAGACCTGCTTGATTGAAAAGGAGAGTCTCTGTAGGGTACCGGGGTTCTTAACCTGGGGTGCATATATATAGTTGTGTGTGCATTTTTCTATTAAGAGCTTCCTTAGCTTTTGGCAGATTTTTAAGGAAATCTGCAACCCAAAAAGAGATTCATATACTA